GTCTCTGCTACAGTGTCGTACACGGGCGTTTCGGCCGACTGATGAGGGATATAACACACAAGAAAAACTGTGAAAACACCAATTACCTGATCCATATTTTAAAACCGGCTTTCCCAATCTGGTCCCCGAGGACCCACTGACAGTCTATGTTTTTGCCAGGAGCTAGAAGGGATCAAAAATGTGGACCGACTGTGGATCCCCGAGGATCAGACTGGGAAACACTATTTTAAAACATTCATTAAAAGCATTTGGGATTTACCTTTATTAATACTGCTGCACAAAAAATAATTCTCCTCGAGGGATCAATAAAGTTCTATCTCATCCATCTCATTTTAATGTATTGGATTGAACCTGCAATTGTGGCTTTTGTTAACCTACATTTTACTTTAGATGTATAATTGTGTTATGTGGCACTATTTGGAACAGAAATCTTTCACAGCGTTCCTTAATTTGCATCACAGTTCTACAAACCACACAGATGGAAAAACATGGCACTGGGCACATTACCCCGTGGTGTGGATCCTCGGGAGGGACTGAAAACACAAAAGAAGACAGAACACTGTGCATTCTTGACTGGTTACCATAGTAAACTGTGCCTGGCTACCAGAGAATGCTATATATTCTTGCACTAGTACCACACATACATGTCTATTTAATTAGCAGACACATTTGTCAAAAGCAAGATACAAGAGAGGCAAATAGTGTAGTATATTTTAAGCAAACAGTTGTCAAGCAGTCAAATTGGCATAGGATTAGCTAGGCTGAACTAACAATATACCAAGGTTCAAATGTAATTAGTAACACAGAACACTGCCTTCTTCTACAAGTTACCATGGAAACACTGTACGTTCATGTACTAGTTTCAAGGAAACATTGGAAAAAATGTGAAAATTCTAATCTAATTTATTTTGCCAAAATGTGCCCCAGATGTGTTAACGGTTCAGGACTACAAAAAGGTTTATGATAAACCCACTCTTTTTTTGGTGTATGTAGTCATTATGCAACTCTATTTTCATAAGTGTAGGAATTGATGAGGAAGTTTTGTGCTATAACTGAGCACCGCAATAAAATGTTTATACTGAAAGCATTTATTCATGTACAGGTGCCTCAAAAGCTACTGAACATTTTGCACAACATAACTCATACAGACAACCCTGGATAATAACGTTTGTTATGCAGTTTAGTGATGTAATTCAATAAGGTGTTTCATGGATGTAGACTAAGCGGAGAAATAGATTGGTTGTGGTTTGTGCAGCTAAATGTATATAACTAGAAATATTAAAGTCAAATCCCATTTATTCTAACAGTAATAAAGCAAGATCAGAATTTAAATTTTAAAAGCTGCAAAGAACAATTGAAGCAGCACATTGCTTCACGTACATGTGCTGTGTGCACACACAACTGGTGTCTGATTTCTCCAGCTGTGCAATATGGTGCATTTAAAACTCGGCAAGTATTCAGTAGTTAATTATATACATCTGAAACACCAGGCTTAATTGCTAAGACCAAACGTGTAGTACTACCTTTCTTTTTTCTTGATTGGTTCGTGACCTTCTGAGGTTTTAAACCCCACCTGAAAAACAAGAATTTCACTGAGATTTGGTTCTTGTCAGGATCTGTGCCTGTCTGGCTCTGTCCCATGTGTCTTCACCCCGTTTGAGCTCCAGTCCTCACTTGCCATCGCGTTTGACGTCACCCTAGTGTGTTTCCCTGCTACCTGGGCCGCCACACGGTGTAACAGCCTGAACAGTCAGCTACTGTCCTGATTCCCCTTTTGTTGTTGGTTCAAGGCTGACTAGAAGCCAGCGTCAACAAATTACTTTAACATTTATGTTATACCGTGTTTTCATGTTTTATTTGTGTATCATGTATTTCAGTTTCAGTTCCTTGTTCTATTTCCTGTTTGTAGTTTGTTCAGTTTTCCTTCTTTTAGTTTCCATTGGTGTTTTGAACCTTCTGCATCTGTTAATTGACTTTACCTTCATTGCCCCTAGTTTGTAACAGCCCACGCTTGTCCCTTGTTAGCCCTTGTTATCCATGTGTATTCATGTACCTGTCCTTGCCTTGTTGTCATTGTGGTTGTTACTGTTTGTTAGTTCCTGTGTTGTTAGTGTTCTTCTCCTTGTTCGGTTCCCACATTTGTTCTTGGTGATACTTCTAATGTTAGTTTTCTTTGTATTCATTTGTGTTACCTTGTGCTTAGTTTTTGTTAGTTCTCGTTTTACCCGTTTTGTTTTGACCCCCTCATTGTACCTTTATTTTCAGTTTCCCCCATTGTTTTGTTTTGTTGAATCTGTTTTGTAGGAGCCGCTATGCAGATCGTCTGTCTCTCATCATGCCCCACTGTAACAGTTCTTCATTTTGTGTTGGTCTTTTCAACAGGGAATTCCAACATGCAGAGTTTAAATACAACGTAAAACCAGAGGACAGAGAAATCAATGTATTGATTTCATTATGTTGCTGTACAGAAATATTTTTTAAATGGTGTTTGGTCTGTATACTGCTGCTATTGTACAGCAGTACTGTAAAATCTGTCTTTAACCACTATAGCTATACCGAATTGATGGCTCATCAGTATTCTGTGGAGTAACATAACTACATGTAAGTCATATCAGATAATGTACAGTGATTTTACTTATGCTGCAACTGGATTTTAGAGATGGAACATTTTCACAGTTTAGAACAATATTAACCATTAGTGTTTACCATCAGCTGACTATTCGATGAGCTGTTAAGTTTGCGTTTTTAACAAACGTGAACAGCTGCGATACAATGCGGCCAAGACGTATATAATTCAGTAACAAATATTTTCTCTCACGACTTACTGGTGGTATTTAGCATAATCCATAGCACTATTTTGCCTAAAAAATTGACTATTTTTACACATATCCAAACACAAGTGTTTCAGATCAATTTTATGCAAAGTGGAATGGATCAGAACAAATCTTTTAGGTCAGTGTTTCTCACAGTGTCTTCAGGGCACACTGGATGGATCCACATTTTTGTTTTATCCCAGTTCCCAGCATGCATGTAAGGTATTTAGAGTTTGGGTCAGGCGTTCTGGGAACTAACAAAAATGTGGATCTGTCCATCGTGCCCCAAGGACTGGTTTGGGAAACACTGTTTTTACATGAACGTAATCAAACGAACTGTGTCCCAAAGAAGCAATTTGGCCCATCCACTAGGATTGCATTCCTGAAGAACCAGTCGGATCGGTATCCCAGAGGGCTTCTCTAGTTTCCGGTGTTTATCATGCCTAGCTACGCCCCCTCCCGGCTGCCAATCGTCTTGGCTGTTTGCCCTCCCTATTTTAGCAACCCGTTTACTGAACCCTGGTGCATAATCGTCCAGTTCAGTCTCAGCGTTTGCGCAATGTTTTTGAGCTTTACTATCTGTTTTTCTGTCCCTAAGCTGATTTTCTGCCCTGCTTGTCTCGATCTCGGCTTTATTCTCCGGTTCGGCTTGTGTTTGTTTCTGTCAGCCTGGTTATAAAAACCCTCCACTGTCTGACCATAACATTTTTGCCTGCCTTTGATTAAAGACACTTTTCTCTACACCATAACAGCGCATTATGGCTGAACTCCTTTTGGTGGTTAATAATTAACAGGGAAAGTTAGTCAATGATAGACGTCGTTATGTTAAGAGAAATGTTTTCGCATTGAAGAGTTTTCGGAATTCTCAGTGTAAGGTGAACTACTTTAATGGATTTGGAACCTTTAAAAATGACAAAATATTCCGCAAATATGGTAAGCAAGTGATCAAATTCACAAGATGAACAAAGTTGTAAAAAGCTTTCAGTACTTTTTTGGCGTAACCTGAACGCTTCTCAGGACTGATAACCTTCATCCCAATTAACTATGGAGAATACTATCGGTATATATATATAGGCTACCTGAAGATCAGTTTAATAACTTTAATTTAATAAGTTTCATAAGTTTCAAAAATACATTTTAAATCATCCCTATTTAGGCACCTTATCAGTGTGTTCTGGTAGTTTTCTTGCAGAACTTGACTTACCTGTCAATTGTCTTAGTGAAGTAGCTTCCCATGGCAAAGCATGTTCGCTTCCCGCGCGCGGCTTCCTCCTTCGCAGAAGAAAATGAACTTGGTTCACCGAGTAAAACGTTAATAAGCCCAGATGAAGAGACTGCACGGTGTAAAATATTTCCTTGTTTCTGGGCCACGGCAACTACGTTTTAAACGGAAGCGCATGGGGTGTAGGTAGCTGGCAGAGACTCAGCCCAGGCGTCGCAGGTGAAACCTGCACAAGTTCCAATATTAATGTAAATACGTAAAGAATGATAGTCTGTAGTAAAATATAGTGACGGTCTTATTTCTTGCCCACGCGCTTTAATGTTACATCATAATATATCCTACATAGTATTATGAATTACTCCTTGAATGTTAATTAATTTGTACAGTCCATCCTGTGGATCTCAACATTAGAGTTCAGTTAAAAAATATTCGTCTCCAAGTTATTAGGTATTACTTTTACTAGAAAGCGCCAAAACCAAAAATTGTAGTAGATAAAGAATAACTTGCTTTGAAATTGATTTACGAGCATGCAAACTGGTCTGCGTGCTTATAAAATAAATGCAGTGTGCCACTATCTGTGAGGGATTCAAACGGGTTCATGCTGATACGGCTAACTAGTATTAAATTTATTTCCTACTATAAGTGCTCCTGGTTTCACCCCCCAAAGGAAATACCGGATGAAGACTCAAAGGAAAAATCGGAATGCTGGGTATATAGCGCCTCTTTCTGGCCAGAAACCCAAATTTCACCGTGGGAAACGGTGAAACTTCATGCAAACTTAAGGTGCGGTTCCTCTTCTTGTGCTTCTGAGGTATTTTGCCGAGCTACATGTAGTGCAAAACGAATAAACTAAAACTTGGCACACTTATTGGCCGAATATTATAGTCAAACATCTGGGGTATACAATAACAAAACGGTGCAATAATGTCTCTTTTGTGACCAAAGAAGGGACTGTGCTGTCGTCCTTTTGATTTTATTGCAGACTTTATTCATGAATTCACAACTCATAATCCTGCTAATACTCATAATCGGCACAAAATGTAAATAGCAAACATTTTTTAATTAAAAGTAATATTCGTATTGCTCCAACATAATATTCCTTTATTTTCAATCAAGATGTCTTTTCTCCTTTCTTAGCCACATTGATCTTTACGTCGTTGATGACCGGCTGGAGGTCATCACTCCTACGCGGTGCTTCCAAGCAGAGAATGCCATCGTGAGAAAGCGTAGCTTTCATTAACAGGGGGTCCACGCCCAGCGGCACAATGTAAGTGCGCGTGAACTCACGGCTGACGAAGCCGTGCTGGTCCAGCCTCTGGCCGTGGTGCCCCGTCACCTCCAGCAGATTGTCCACGGTGCGCACGCTCAGCTCGTCCGGCGTGAACTGGCACACGTCCAGTAGGACTCGGAACCAGTCCTCCTCGCACTCCACCTGCGAGAAGCCCCGCTCCAGCTGCTTGTTGATCCGGGGGCGGATGTAGTATCCGTGGTATAGCGTGGGCGCCAGTAGGTCCTGAGGACTCAAAGCTGGGAGAATGGTGTATTGTGGGGAAGATGAACATTTAGTTTGTTTTTACGTTAAACCACCAAAGAACAGCAATATAACGTAATGGAGCTCCTTTCTCATTAACTATTTTAGGGATTACTTTTATACTGAGTACTCTAAAATAATGATATAAAGAGAAAAATTACACACACTCTGTTAAGACAAAAAACAAAGAAATAAATGTTTATATATACCAGTGGCCTGTATTATAAAGTGAGGTTACTGGCTTCTCGGGGTAACTTGCCGGATTTAACTCAGTCTGGACGAAATGTAAATTAACAAATATGAAGTCCATTTGTAACTGTGTTGCCTTAAATCTGACAAGTTACCCCGATAAGCCAGTAATCTCGTTTTGTAGTAAAGGAAACAAATCAGATTATTTGGAGATTACATATGACAAACAGCTCCTCTATGTCTACACTTAACAGGTTTTAATCAAAGCAAAAAAAAAAATCTGTAAGTATTGAAGTATTCAAGTGCAATTGTAGCTCTAAGTGGAAGTAATAAGGAAACTGTAGCAGCTGAGAATGTTACATCTTATTTAAATTCCCCTGTTGCCATATATTTTCTCCCTGGAACATTTAAGTACTTTCAATATTTTGTGAAAACTGGCTTCCTGAAAAAAAATATTGCATGGGAACATTGCCATTGCATTATCGATTTATGTGAAAACTGGAATCTAAAAATAAAGCTTAAATACAATTCATTAACGATTAGTATCCCCAGAAAAAGTGATGTTGGTGTTGTCATGACTTTGATCTATTTTCATAAGGTGATGCTTGTTAAGTCTTTTAATAGTTCAGATTGACTGGCCTTGGGTTTGTTCCATCTCCGAAGAGGTGAAGTGGCTGTTTATTTTTGGATCGGAGTTGGGTATTCTCTTTCAGTTACGTTAGCGTTAATGAAACTCATCCCCGCAGCCTAGTTTCATCAGAAAGCTAAGAGCTGAGGTGCGTCACAGGGAAAATGCTTAATGTGTCAAAGTCCTCTCATGGAGAATTATGGCCCATTCCATTCCGAAATCACTTTAACAAGACTGCTGGTTTCTCTGTTTTCAATGAACCATGTTCTGATCCTGTGCTCTCTGATTAAAAATTTATGTAGAGAGACTTGGTACAGTAACCAGGACTCTAGCCCACCAATCTGGAGGGGCACCACGTTTACCAAAGCGGGAGACCCAGACGGATCATTCATTCAGCCAGAGGTCCTGAAATGAACTCTGAACTTTTGCTGGGTAGTCCTAAATCCCTCGTGAAATTTGAGCTAATGGAGGTACGTATCGCTTGTTCAAAAGATGTCATCAGATAATTGTGGGCGACTCGTAAGAGCAGTAGCCAAAAAGTCACCCGGACTGATTCCAATGCCATCATTTGTGTAAACATGATGCACTCCATCCCGTGTCAACACAATAGTCTACAAAGTTCTAGAAAGCGCAGTGTCTTTCCTGTTCTTTAGTATGCTGTGCTGTGGCAACGTTTCATGGGAACGCTGGGGAAAAAATAATAATAATTCCCTTACCCTCCCCAAAATTCTGGTCGTAGATGCGACTGGGGGAAGCCATCTCATACTCGGTGCTCATCGGGTAGGCGTGGGGTACGGTGCGCTCAGCCATGCTGACCCAGATACGAGGAACGACCCTGAGGAGAGAGAAGGAGGGGGGAAAAAAACAATCCGAAAGCCTGAGAGAAATGGGGAAGTAAATAAAAGGAGCCGGTGTGAAGGAAGGACTGAACTTGTTTCTGTGAGAGAAGGGTAATAAAATGCTACCAGGAATAGCTCCTGTCAGGCATGCCGGCGTGGAGACCCCCCCAGCAACGACGTTTACATAAGGGGGTACGCCGCTAGGGCATTCAGGCAGCCTGATCAGTTTAATAGCCCCAAGGACTCCAAGACAGACAAGTGAGCAGCTGATATTTCCAGCATTACACTGACGGGGAAAAAGCTCCAAAATGTGTCAGATTACGTCTCCGGAAAAGCGCCGCGTCGTGTGAGGGCTGAATTTCACAAAAACACTGAAATAGACAAGCGAGTTAGAAATTAGTCTCCTTTCCCTCGATGGCTGAGAACATGCTCTCTGTCTGCCTCCAGTGAGGTTATGAGTCGTTGTCAAAACATAAAAAGACTTTAATAGCTGGGTCAGAATGAGACATGGCTTTGTGCTTTGAGTCCCTTTGTGATGACTGACCAATCGGGGACCACCATTGTCACAGGCACCGCTAAAAAACAACAACTCCCCCATTCTTAGTTTGAAAGTTAGATATACTGTTGATTAACTTTAATGTTGATTTTATTTATCTGTTGATTTATCAGTAGAGGTACACAATCTATTGCAAGTGTTCTAAATCTGATATATTTGTATTATATCCAATAGTTATGATATAATAAAACAATGATCATGGGGTCATTGATATTCTATAAACCCCAGCACGGAATCAAATTAGCCCTATGATGGGTTGGCACTACGTCCTGGGTTGTTCCCTGCCTTGCACCCATAGCTTCCAGGGTAGGCTCCGGACCCCCACGATCCTGCATAGGACATGTCGGTACAGAAAATGTGTGGATGCATGGATGGATGAATTAACGTAGTAGTTATCAAAACATCCCATTTCCACATATCTCTAATCTTATGTATCCGACCTTAGAGAACCTCTCATCCAGCACAGTATCTTGGTTGTCTGGAGTCTGAAGCCCATGCAGAGGGAACACAGTCACACACACTAAGGGCAAGTTAGAGTCACCAGTTCACCTAACTGGGTGTTTTTTGACCGCAGGAGAAAACATGCAGACATGAGGAGAACATTGGAATGTCATTCACTGATGACAAAGAGCTAGACTCAAACCCACAGCTGTGAGGAACCACTGCTTGGCACAGAGACACCAAACTGCTTTTCTAATCAAATATATGATTATTATGTATGGCTGCACTGTTTATTTGAAAGAAAAAAAATAGTCACACACTTCAATATTTCGTTGGACTGCCCTTAGCTCTGATTATGGTGCACATTCGTCACTGCAGTGTTTCCATGTGCTGATGCAACATCTCAACACGTTTTTCACCAAGATTTGCATTTATTTCTCATCAAGATCTTGTATTGATGAGTTGAACCACTCCATCAAGTCTTCTTCAGCAAATCCCAGACTTTCAATGGGGTTAAGGCCAAGACTCTGTGGTGGCCAATTCATGTCTGAAAATGATTCCTCATTCTCCCGGAATCACTCTTTGATAATTCGAGCCCGATGAATCTTGGCATTATCGTCCTGGAATATGTCCATGAAAAATCCATTGATGGGATAACCTGCCCATTCGGGAGATTCAGGTACTCAGTTGACTTCAATCTATTGCTGCATTACATTGCTTAGCTGTAATAATGATCCAGTCATTTGCTCCCTAAGTACTGGCTGATTTAAATTCAAAGTGACTGACTTTTTTGAACAGGCAGTGTATATTGCCATCTAAAGGATATCTTGGGAATGACTAGGTGACTCTCAGCAATCCCCCACAGGCCCTGGGCACACTCCAAGACCCGAGGGCGGGGCCACCCTGTGGACTATGCGCTGACAGCGATGTGTCCTGGCGTTTTTCATGGGGATTAGCTCTGTATAGAGCTCGCCCCAGCAGAGTCTAGCAGTACAACACTGGCCCCCGCCTCTCATATAATCACAGACTCATCACCTGGGACTCAGGGGACAATGCCTGGAAGGGCAGGGACCAGAACTGGTGGGGAACGGGTTCAGCAGAGCGTGGCAGAGTTAATCCGCCCCTGGCACATGGGGGCGCCCTGATCGGGGGCCAAGTTTCAAAAGCCAGGGGCCAGAAAATCCTGGGCCAGGAGTTGCTGCAGACATGCACACAGAAAGTCATTCCAGCGATGTGAGCCTGAAGGAATCAGCATGAGGCAAACCCTAACCCCCCCGACCCCCCCTCAAACACACACACAAAAATTGCTGGAGTCTGACTGAATGAGATCACATCACTGGTTTAAATAAATATGCGGTGAATGGCACGGAAGAGGGAGGGAGAGAGAGACAGACAGAGGCTAGTCATTCGGGAGGGAGGCCAAAAAACTGTTTACATCACTGTTCGAGAAGGATCAGGGGGAGGCTGTCCGGCTGGCACCGGCTGGTGGCTGTGGGTATATAAAAGCGGGCAGGGAGAACTGGGCACTGAATTTGGCACACAGAATAGCCGTGCCACCCACAGACGAGATGGACATCGCCATCCACCAGCCCTGGCCGCGCCGCTCATTCTTCTCCTCGTTCTTACCCAGCCGGATCTTCGACCAGCATTTTGGGGAACCGGTGCCGGAGTCAGAGCTGCTGCCGCCGTTCCCCTCGCTGTACTACAGCAGGCCCTGGTTCCTGCGCCTCTTGAACTGGGGCGACACCGGCCTTTCGGAGGTGAGTGTGTGGAGGACGCCAGAGGTGGAGTGAAGGCGCCTGTACTGGTCAACACCAGTCAGCTCATTAGGCGAGATAGGCGGCCACCTTGGGTGCCATTTCCTGAGGGGGTGTCAACTTATCGAACTGCCACCACCCCCGGAAGGCTTCACAGCTGGCACAAGGAGCATGTAAAAACTGAGATGAAGTAAAATTGGGGGATGATGTTTGCCAGGGTGGGGTTGGGGATGGAGCACTGGTGGGGAAGCCTGCCCAGCACCCTGCAGAGGCTTTGACTGGCATTGGTGCCAACCAGTATTTTCGACTGATGTTACGTCCCTCCTGAGCAACAATAACTCAACCTTACTAATAAAGTTATAGTAAAAATCGACCAGCTCCTAAGCCAATGGTACTGTAAGGTGGTAACCACGGCAACAGCATGGCACTCAGTGTAGCGAGTGTTTTAGACTAGATGAAGGTGGAGTACGTACTGGAGTCATTTATTGAATCACATTTTACTGTAACTCAACATTAGAGCATTGTGCTGACGATGCGAAGGTTGTGTGTTCAAATCCCAGGGAGCGTGCATAAATTGTAACCCCTCTATTGTAAGTTGCTTTGTATAAAAGTGTCAGGTTAATGAGTGAATGATATAGCTGATACTTTTTTGCTTGCCATGGGGAAATTCTCTCCTCCAACTCTAGGTGTGAGCAAGCTGGCTGGAAAGGGCAGCCACCTGTTATGGGTGTAGGGTTAAGGGTTTCACCCAACGACCTATAGATATGCTGAGGCTGGGCTTGAACCAGCAATCTTCTGATCACATGCCCAGAAGCTAAGCCCACTGAGCTACACACTGACCCTATGCTACCCCACATGTTATGTAATACAGACTATTTTTAAAAAGTGCACTGTCACACTACTTTCCACAGTGATAATCCAGGCCCCGAAAAAACCTTAAATCCTTAATGCTTTTGTTACGAGTTTTCAGTTCAGCACTGAGCTGCAGGTGCCCTAACTTTCCTGGAGAACGGTAAACATTCTCTGGCCACCTAGTCTTATTGTTACATCACGATAAATGCAGCGCAATTCATATAAACGCTTGATAAATTAACCCCGGTTAACCAGCCATGTGACGATGCGAGTCACTGCACTCGGGGCTAAAGGACGCAGTGCCCCAGGGGCATGTGTGACTCCCGAGGGTGTCTCTGAGCTCAGAAGACTGTCGGCTTCTTCCTCGACCTGGTGGGTGGTGATACAATGTTGCCTCTCGCAAAGAATCCAAGAACATCTGCCCACAGTCAAAGTGAGAACAGTGGTGGCTGCTACCACCGTGGCATTCGTGCTATGAGATGCTCACGCTCGCGGTCGCTACAGAGACTGCAAGCGTGGCTGCATAGATGCTGCCATTGCCATGCATCAGTGCAGTGTATCGCGTGGCACATCGCTAACCAGAAACAGATCAAAACTCAAAATTTGACGACTACTGCACGATTGTGAAGTTGCAATATCATACATACATACATAAAATAAGGAGCATTCATATCGAATAGTGAATGTGGAAAATGGATGGATGGATTAATGCAATGTTTCCAATCCCAGTCCTCAGGGACCTGTAGACAATCCACATTTTTGTTCTCCAGTACCCAACACACTCGTATCAGGTATTCTGTGATTCTTGATTGGTTGGGAGCTGGGAGGGAGCAAAAATGTGGACTGTCTCGGAATCTTCATGGACTGGGTTGGGAAGCGCTGCATTAATGGATGAATAATACAGCCATGGGAAAAATTAAGAGACCACACTATATTTTTAAACAAATCTGCATTTTTAAATCCTGGTTTAATCCTGGTTCTGCTTGCAGAAGGCTACACTGAGCAGCAGGTTGGTTCCAGGTTCAAAATTTCTAAGACGACAATACACAAGAATAAGGTACAGCAGGAGACACTGGGAATGACCATATACCAGCCAGGTGATTTTCTCATGCCAGAGATGACTGTTAACTTATCTGAGATGAATTGTATCTCATGAATTGTAGAATGATGTCAAATGACCTTCAAAAGCAATGAGAAACATTAAGCGCCAGTGTGAGGTGCCCTGCTAGGACAGTTCATATCAGGTTCCTAGAAGCAGGACTGAAGTCCCATAAAGCAAGGAAGAAGCCCTTCAATAATGAGAAACAGAGAAGAACCAGGCTGGAGTTTGCAAAAAAAATAAAATATTATTCACAAACACACACCCATAAATTGAGAAATAAGTGAAACAAAAATTGTGTTGTGGTCTTTTATTTTCTCCATGGCTGTATTTACTAGTAATACAAAGTACTATCAGTTGTAAAATAATAAATACTGTGTTATTATCTGAGTTATTTCATTGAATTGCACACTGCTGGATCGCTCTGGTTGCAGTGGAGTGAAAGGAGCCAAACTCCTCTACCCCTGTCTCACAGACCTCCGTCACCTCTTTGCAGATGCGCATGGACAGGGATGGCTTCGTGATTAATCTGGACGTCAAGCACTTTTCCACGGAGGAGCTGTCAGTCAAGGTCAACGGCGAGTTCATCGAGGTCCGAGGGAAGCATGAAGAACGCCAGGCAAGTGGCCCCCTGGGGGGGGGGGGCTTGTCTTCCCAATTACACATGTTCAGGCCTCAAGCTGATAAAATGTGGCTTTCATTTTGAGGTACTTGTGAGAAATATAACAAGCAGGGAATGAGAAAGAAAATGAATGAGTCAGAAAATTATACATACATTTAAACCGATCGAATGAAGAACCTCACAACAGGTGCATACATCAGCATATGATGTTATATAATTCTGGAATCCTGTGCAGGAGATTCCCTTGTGCAGGGGATTCCCTTGTGCAGGGGATTCCCTGGCCTTAAACTGTGATGTCACACTGAAATAAAACAATAAAGTCAGAAGATAATGGTGGAAGGTAATTTAAAACTCCTATAAGCTGAGGAGGAGTAAGAGGACAAACCAAACTTGGTAGGAGGCTGTCATTAGCAAGCTCACCCCGTGAAAGGTGGCCTAGATCAAGCTAGAGCGAGTGTGTCTCCCTTCCGGCCAGGACGACCACGGCTTTGTGTCGCGGGAGTTCGTCCGGAAATACAAGCTGCCGGCGGGAGTGGTGCCGAGCGTGGTCACCTCCTCGCTGTCCTCCGACGGCGTGCTGACCATCACGGCGCCCCGCAATCTGGACGACGTCCCGGAGCGCAACATCCCTATCACCCGAGACTACAAGCCTGCGGTGGCCTCATCACAGAAGAAGTAGAGCTGCTGGTGTCTCCCCACCAAAACACCCCCACCTGCCCCTCAAACCCCCCACCCCTGGCTCCATTTTAGTTTCACCCTCCCCCCTCCCATGCCTGAGTTTCCAACCCACACCCACTCTTCTGAAGGGTCATTGCTTCACAAATGTGCCTCCTGACTTCCTGTCACATGACCAGCCTGTTCGTGATGGGGTCTGTAATAGTGCCTCCTGACTTCCTGTCACATGACCAGACTATTCTAGATGGGGTCTGTAATAGAGCCTCCTGACTTCCTGTCACATGACCAACCTGTTCTTGATGGGGTTTGTAATATAATGAAATGCATGTAAGCTTGTGCTTGTATACCTACAGTATGCATGTGTGGATGTTCTGTGTTTTCCTCAAATAACTGACAGTTCAAAAATATACCAAAGACCGATTGTATCTGCTGATTAAGTGTGACTGCAATACCCGACACCAAATTTCCCACATGTGGCATCAATAGGTGTCCATGCCCACTGGAAAGAAGAGAGGGTCACAAATGCATGCAACGGAACTGGTTTACATCCCATGTGATTTGTGGGGGGAACAAAAGTCGAGCTAGAACATGCAAATGAGCTCTGAGTTCATAAAGTAACAGACCAAAACACTGGATTCTACCGCTAATGGTTAATTACTCTTCATTTTAAAATGCTAACTCAACCTGACAGATCTTAGGTTATGAGTAACTATGCTCCAGTCACAGAGTCTGCGATATGGGTGTTTGGTTATAAATGGGGCCTGGTCTCATGGATGGTGGTTTTGACTGGAATGTTGGTCACCGAGGACCATGGGGGACAGAGAAAATGGTTTGATGTGCATGAGCACGATGGCCATGTGTCTACCCCACTTTTGACGAGATTGTGTAACTCTGTTAGTCCAGTTGTAATATGTATTGGACTAGTGTTGACTTCAGAGTGTAAAATCTTCTGAGTTCCTGGCTGGGTGTTAACTGTTGGATGAGACGTGATCATCATGATAAAAACTGTGAGTTTGGGCCAACGTGCCGTTGTGAGGGGCGAGGTTATCTAAAATATCAGAAGCATTGTTTGCACATTCCACCTGCAATGAGTTAGGTCCGGTGAAACTACTGAGCTATATGCCAGACTCACAAGTGGCATGAGATCAGGAAGTCTGCATTTAAGTGAGGCCAGCATTTGGTATTTCCAGTGGGACCAGATACAAATAAGGAAGACACATTTTCACATGCCTTTACTGTAACTCCTGCAAAACAAGAACAGAGATAAGGATGCTTGACCCTCTGTCAGTAACAGACAAATGGTTGCTGATTGGCTGAGGAGGGGTAGCTGATCCAGGCATGGAAACATGATCGGATGCTGTGTCGTTGGAAGCCTTGGAGGATAGGGCAGGCATTTAGTCTATCGTTCATGAGGGTATGAAAAATCCCCTGTAGCCAGCAGCCCAGATTTGCTGATGATTTTCAGGCTATTCTGCATACTTTTTATGTTTCTGCAAAGGGCTCAATTGGATAGACATACTCTGTCTTGGACATTTGGACTCCTCCAGTTTATCTAAACACTTCCTATCTGAAGCTTTTCTTACAGAACTCAGTGACAACTTCGGTTTTGGTTAATGACAACAAGGTGTGCAACACACTAAGAACAGCAGGTGGCGTATTGGTTGAGGTATCGCAACCAGCCTGTCACAATGGGAAAATGTTGAGGGACCAAGGTAAATTCTCACAGGGTAGTGACCCCACCCCTTCCCGTTCACAGGTCAGTCTCTGAACCTTACGTAGGCTATGAAGCTAGCAGTGCAATGAGTGATAAACTGGGCCAGGTGACTGGGGTGAACTGGGTTTCCCATTAATTACCATTCCTCTGCCATTTCCATCACTTCATAACCAAACAATCCTCACAATCCCTGTTAACACAATAGCTTTATTCATTTGTGACAATAACAGAGAAAATAAAGAAAAGTGGTTAAAAAATGACAAACTCACTGTGACTTCTTCACCGGATGATGGATCAGCCATTATTCAAGGGATTCACAACATTTTCTTTTTCAAAACTGAAATTCTTTGGTTTAATTCACCTAAATAATGAAACATACAACATTGAGTCCATAACCTCTAGACAAAAGAAGACCCGAAATGAGTTTGATTTAAACTCTGGGTCTGTATCCATACATGTAAACACGAATATCCAAAAGCTCCAGCCTTTAAAACTATCAGGGGTCCTTTCTGTTATTGACCCTCACAGCTGTTCAGCAGTTTTCCCGCAGCATAAATTATGCACACTGGAAAATGCACATACACAAGCAAGTCAAAATGTTTTGGTCACAAAAGTCGCCTTTTCCGCTGGATGGGGGTTTGATTAATGTACAGTAGGTTGATGATTATCGCACCAGGATTAACCTTCCTGGTGGGAGGAGGGAACAGCTCCAGGCTGAACCTGCTGAGCAGATGTGGCCCTGGTCCTGCTCCGATGGTGCTGAGGATCTCGGAAGTCTTCTCTGTAAATGGAGTTGGGAATACACTTCACATGCGGAGGGTCTAGTTCAGGCTGGTGACCCGGAAAGCTGTGAACCTCACGCTTCAAGCCTGAAAATGTGAAAAACATCATTCAGCAGAGGCAGACAAGATATCTGCTGGATTTAACCAACACGAGTGTCACAATTGCTATGCATTGTATCACGAATCTGTGGCTGATCCTCATATATAAGACGCGTGACCAAGGAGTTGACAGAAATCCTAAAACACCTTACCAGAGATACAATGGTGCCTCTCTGTGTTGTAGCTTGATGAGTATGCCGTTTCAAAGTAATGGGCAAACTATAAAAAGTAAACAAACAGTTAATACACATGTGTAAATAATTCAGCAAAAGCAGCAAAAACGCGTACCTCCATGATTAGCCATTAGTTCTCACCTGTGACGGCAGGGGGCGCCGTTGAACTAAACGACGGATGTCGAAGCGTTCCTCACACCAGTTGCCAGTAAGGGTGCAGTTGGAGTACGCATCTTCACTGGTGGAGCAGCGCCAGCCGTACTGGCCGAATTTGTCGTCTTCTCCTAAGTCCCGCCACACTTCTCCTTGACCAGAGGCACGGAGCATATAGTAGAACGCGGCGCCGTTCTCCATCCCTGGATTGTCTATGTTGAAGTCTTGTAACTTTTGAAAATGCGCCTTAAACGCTTCGGTAAAAGTCAAATTAGATTAACTGTTTTTGGTATTACCAGTTATATTATAAGAACACCGCAGCCATTCGGATGTTATATATTGATCGATAAAATAAGATAAAATAAGCTGAATATAATAATATATAGAAAAAAATGCTCGTGAAATGGTAGATGACCGAGCTGATGAAGACACCTTCGCAGTAAATAAACCCTTGCCTTGTAATACCTGCTATCCCAGCGATACTACCAGGATATATACATTGTTGTCGCGTTGCCATGGATACAGAGCCCTATAGTCCACATCACAAACGCGCAAAATCTCATATGCGTTTTTTCGAAAAAAGAAAAACCTTCTTCTCAAAACCCCAAAATAATCATTCACATTTAATTGCTTCGCATATAAATCTCTGATCACACATGAATTTTCCATTCCGACGATGGCTGCATGGCATGGCACAAGGCAATCCTCTACAAACGTGTAAAAATGACACAAACAAGACACTACTTGAGAGCAGCGTATTTATTAAATGAATAAATGCGATGATCAGATATTTATGAAAGATATTATAAGATAATAATGTAAAATAAAGATTCTATTAAACTTGGTTCAAGTCCCTTTTGGGACTTTACATTAAGCATAATGATGCCTTTTTCCAAATCACCGCATCACAGCGCATGAACTAGCTAATCTAACAAGCATTGTGAACATTGTAAATGTGGATTTAGATGTGCAGGATCGCCGCGGATGACTTCAGTTTGACCACGGCCGCCAGTTTCACTCATGAGCAGTAAAAGTCCCATTTCTGTTAAAAGGACGAAAATGCGATCGTGTGGTTTTTGCGGACAGAAAATAACATTTGAGATTATGGCAGGTGAAGTGGCACAGCGAAACACCTACGTCCGTCTCGACCTCCACCGTGGCCGGCATCAGCGCCTGGGTCTCCTGCACGACGCTGCTGGGGAAATGTCCGATCCGAGCCTCCTGCTCTCCGTAGTACGACCCCTGAACCTGGAGGGTGACAAAGAAAATGAAAAATTAAGGCTCCCTTTGCCGACAGACCCGATATTTGTTGGAATTTTTTTCCAATAGGTTTAGTTTGTAAAACATTTCAAATATTAAAAACAAACACGGAGGTTCAAGTAAATAACTGTAGAGCGATCGTATTAACTACACGAGATATGCAAACAATTTATTCTACTGCGCAAAAGTCATAGGCAGCAAATGAAAATACTGTTTAAATTATCTACATGTTGATGTAAAACTAAGCTACGATGTCTGTCAAAGTGTGTCAGCTTAACCATGTCAAATCTTCTCGTGAAGTCCCAGTGTTTCCAGCAACCATCCAAATATACACATGTATCTTTAAATGCACCATTAGCACACCTCATATAGCCTATCAATATCTCGTTAACTTTTTCAGCTAATCAAGCTAATTAATTAGATTGAAATTTATTAAATACATGGAAAGGCTGAGGTGCCCCGGAGGAGAGGTTTGGGAACTGAAGCTGTGTTCATCTAACCATCCAACTACACATCAGTGACTTTTTGGAGGGAAGAAATTTTTACTAGTTTTCATTGTATTGCCCTTAATTTGCATATGTTGTAATGCTAAATTGCCTTTTGTTCTGAGCAAAAGTTCACCTGCTACCCAGATAAATGGCTATAAACACTTCTTTTGACTGCCTAAGACTTTTGCGCAATACTTTTAGTTTTATTTCTCTTCATCCTTTGCTTGACACCCCTTCCTCCTGTGGTTCCCTAGCGGAGAAACTCACGCTTCCTGCCCAGAAGAGATTCCCGCTGTCCTTAAGCATGGCGAACACGTAGACAACCTGGCCTTGTCGGATGGGGATGAAGCGGCAGTCCTGGGGGTAGAAGTCCTCCAGGGCGCGGGCCATGAGTATGGGATCTGAGCATAGACGAGTACGGGATCTGAGCATAGACGAGTACGGGATCTGAGCATAGACGAGTACGGGATCTGAGCATAGACGAGTACGGGATCTGAGCATAGACGAGTATGGGATCTGAGCATAGACATGAGGCACTAGTGTTGCATTAGGCTAACATAAAGCAAGTAGGCAGCAGCTCTTTGTGAAACTGGAGCAGCACACTGACGATTATCTGATTCATGGATATTTTTTTTACCCACCTGCACACCTATAAAGTTATATGGGTTCTCTATAGTACAACATCAGTCTAGCATGACAGAACCGACCCACGAGCTGTTGTTTTAGTTACTCATAACGAACCTGGATTGAGAGGATAGTCTCTAGGGAAAGGAAAATGAGGATCCATTTTTTTACATGTGTTGGTGTAATAGCGCGATGTGATTTCCCGAAGCGTCTGCGAGCGTTCTGGAGCGCATACTCACGGCTGCATTCCGAATCTGCACACAGCTTCCTGTCGGAGAGCTTGGGCATCTGCCTGCCTGCGCAGACGACCCTGAGTGCTATACAGCACAGCAAAGCCAGCAGGGTCCAGCAGATCTCTCTGCGTGCCATCTTCAGAGTCCGAGGTGGTCAGTCTGCAGAGAGGGGTACACGGACGAGTCATCCAATCAACCCGCTGACTCCGCCCACAGCCACACCTCCTCACCCCCCATAGCCCTCAGGGTCTGCAGGCCCCTCCCTCATCAGTAGAGTTTGGACAGACACTCTTCTTGCATTTTTCTCAGAGCCCCTCCAACATAGGTCTGTTAAACCTGGAACACAGAGGAACAGGGAAGGGTTAAATGTCAAGGGTGTGACCCACCCCCCCACCACCTTCATGTTCAAATGGGCCCATTCAGTCAAGACCAAGTGGAAAACATAACATATAATTAACAGGAGGGCGGGGGGGGACGACTCACTGACAGTCTCCTGTTTGTTTGAATTTGACCCTCCCCCCTCCTGCCCCTCACCTGCTGTGCTGACCCAAATTTACCTCCCCAGCCAGTCACACTCCACCCTCTGTCTCGCTGAGCCGGACCCAGCCAGAACTCAGTTTGCTCTGCTTCCCGGTTAAAAACACTGACAACACCCTAATTGCACAAGCCTGCAAATCCCCTCCCAACTAATACTTTGTGGAAGCGCCTTTCGCATTTACTACAGCAGCAAGTCTATGTGAATCAGTCACAATCAGCTTTGCACTCCTGAATTTTGAAATTTTATCCCCATCTTCCTCGTGACATAGGCCAAGCTACTTTAGATAACTGGGGAATCTTTTAATTTCAGATATTTACCCTATACTAATTCTCTAATCGTTTTTCTCTTAGATATCCAGCTCAGTTGGTTGATCATAGATGTTGTGTTGAAGTCTGTAGCTTTGGGGGCGTGGCATGTGGCTCGGAGGCTTGGTCCTCGGCGCCTGTGATTGGAAGGTCACTCCCAGCTAACAGGGATGTTCCCAGAACTTTAGCCAGTGTTATGCGGAAGTCTTCTCAAAGTCGCAGAGAATGTTCTTCTTGTAACATTAATGGAGTATTATTTCTAATGTTTTACATTTTTACCAAGGTTTTGTCAATGTCAACATCAGGGAAAACTGGATAACTTTCAACATTTCCATACCTTAATTGTAACATTCGGTAAATGTCCCCAGAACAAAAACTTGCTAGTGAGGATAGTTCAAATCCTAAATTAACAAAATGGTCTTGTTCTATCCCCCTTCTCACAAATTTCCTAGTTTTACAAGAACTATACACACAGACACACACACACACACACACACATATATATATATGAATAATGTCTTACATTTTGGGGACCGTTCATTCATTTCCATGGGAAAAATGCTAATGCTAACTATGACAACCTTAACCCCTACCCAGCCCTAACCATAACCATAAGTAACCAAACCAAATATAGTTTTTGCATTTTCAGTGTGTCATTGCAGTGATGGATTTGTGTAAGCTTCTTGTACTGGCTCTGCACACCCAGCCCTGCAGCGGTACATGGTGTTTATCTTAAGTGGACTTTCTGTCAGCCTTTGTTGCAGCATGTCATTGACTCACTGTATCATTGTCTAAATCCTTTCAGTTCTCTTCCTTAAAAATTCACATAGGATTTTCCTTTTCTTGCAGTTAGAATTCCTCACTGAAATCCCATGGTCCTAATGGAATAAGTTTACGAAAATGGACACTGAAGCATATGAACTTAAAAGTCCATTTTATTAGGCTGTGGCACATATAAAAAACAAATACATACATTTACTTTTTTAAACGGTTAATTACGAGTTGCTAATGTTTCTCTTCATTGGATTTTTACTGCATTTTTTATTAGATGTTCACATTGAACATAAGACAGCATGTCCGGCTTTTACAATGTGTATCTTGGCTGAGGTCACACTGGACACTTCCTCATTTTTACATGTTTTTCTCTGCCGCAGCCACTGGGTGGGAACATAGAGCACATGACCAGGAAAGCCAACATCCAGGAAGCTGGTGCTGTAAAAATATTGTCTTCCTTCTTCTCCTGGCTTCATGTTCTCCCCTCCCTTTGTGTCTAGGTATCTATGACCACCCCCTTCCCCCACTGTCTGCGTTACCGCTACCTGGGCGGTGGGAGGTATCAGTGACTGCGCTTTCGTCAGAGTTATGCTGATTGACCGCCCCCAGGCTGAGTGAGCTCACCTGTGTGACTCGGGCACCTCTCTCCTCCCTTTAGGGGTGGGAGAAGTCGCCACCCACATGGGGGCGGACTTGGGAAACTGGCTGGGTTCGCGGCGAGATACCGGGTCGACGCCGAGGCAGAGACAGCTGGATGTTGGACTGCACCCAGGTAAGAGATACACAACACGTGAGGAACCAGGGTAACGGAGGAACACACACAAATCAGAGGATTAGCTAAAAACAACTTTACGTATTCACTATGTCTGGAGGTGTCTCAGAGCTTGTGTGTTGGCTTTGGTGATGGTTAAAAAGGTGACAGGCGAGAGGTGTTTTCACATGGAATTGGTGACAGGAAACACCTGTCTTCATGGCCTGTCAGGGGCACGCTAAGACAAAGACAAGGAACTGGGCTCCGGTGATGCTGAAGTTGAAATAGGAGTCAGCTAATGGTCAGAAGTGTCTGTCTCCCCATCTGCCTAGAGTCTCAGTAACAGGCCGATGAGACTATTGGGAATATTATGTGACAATTTAGCACCTGGGTAACAGGGCGTTTAATACGAAAACCTGTCCAGCAGACAATGAGGGGTGGAGTGGTAAGGAGAGCCGAAGACTGCTGGAATTCACGAAACCTCACTCCAGCCACGCACGGAGAAGAGGCACAAAAGCCATCAAAGAACACGATCTTCGGGCTCGATCAGATGACATTAGCTTTGCCTGGTTGTTTGAGCATTTTCACGTAACGTGGAGTGTGTTTACTTGGTCATTTGACGTGTGTGATCTTCTATTTTAAGACAGCAGCCTGTGTTGCGGGATCAGCCGGGCGGGAAGAGGAGCAGGTGGAACAGGAGTGGAGGAACAGGGAGTCTGAAACCTTTTCCACACTTGGGTATTAACCCGCAATTTGTCTCACCGACAGGAAGTAGCTGGCTGTAAACTGTGACATCACAGACTGTCTTCGTTTGGAGGCTCAGTGGGTCGCCATGTCACAAGGAAGTTCCTGATGGCCACCTGCTGACCAGGAACTGAGCGCATCAGGAAGGGACAGGGGTGTTGGTCAAGGTCGGAGTGAAGCTGACATTGTTGCAGTGAGGCGTCGGGACTCACTGGACCACGGGAACCACAAAGCTGATGATGATGTCGGCCTGCCTGTGACATCACAGCGGTCGGTGTCATGTCATCATTGTCACGGAGTAGTGACTCTTCCAGGAGAGACAGGATGGCCTCATCAAACCTGGAGGATTCCTTCTTCCCTTTCTCACCATCATCCCAGAACACAGGATCTGTGATCCACCCAGCATCCGTGCACGGATATGGACCCATCCCCGAGCCTGAGGTGGAGCGGTCGGGTCCACTCTGCGAGGACAGTAACCCCCTGCTCCTGGAGAGGGACCTGATCCTCGCAGCAGAGCTGGGTCAGGCTCTGCTAGAAAGGAACGAGGATCTGGCAGCTCAGCTGGAACAAAAGGAGAAGGAGGTTGAGGTGGGGGTTGTGTTTTTAATCTCATGAAATTTACATATCAAAGAGAATCTGCCTACAGGAATACAGGAGTCCTGTGTTACAGAAATTCTCCCTAGTGGAGTAGCAGCATATGATAGACTAACAATGACAGCAGATCTTCATGTGTGAAATTGAACATTAACATAGTACGGTAAGATTGGGCAATCAGTCACCAACATTGTTCAGCTGGCTGCAGTGAGATTTTCAATTCACAAAAAGTCTGCACACACATATTTTCATGTATATAACAGTTTTATTATTATTTATTGTACATAGTCTGCAGAGTTTGAAAACTGCTTCAACGCTTTGGATGCAGTTGATTTTAGTTTTATAATGAAACAATATAAATTTGTAGGAAGATTTGTTGCGTGAGTGTGAGAGTCAAAAAGTGTGAGTGTCACGGCAGATGTGTGAGAGCTGGCAACCCTGGATAAGTTTTATTTTAGCTGTAGCTCATAAACAATATCTATATTGTTTATCAATTTATCTATATAAACAATACCAACCATAGAGTTTGCGTTATTCTGCTCCTAGATGGCAGTACTAGTGTTTCAATTAGTTATTTCTTAGTTGGGACTGGACACATTCTTGTAAAACTAGGAAAATATTGAAAAGGGGGATTAAATCAACCCATGTTACCCTTTATTATCAATTACTTGGATAGACTTTTGGGGGCAGCATGGTTGCCTCACACTTCTGGGACTGGAATTCTTCAAATCTGTGTGTGTACCTGTGTGTGGAGTTTGCATGTTCTCCCCCACAGGATAAAAGCATGCTGAAGTGAATTGGAGTTGCCAAATTGTCCATTGGTGTGAATGTGCGCGTGTGAATGTGCATGTGTGAATGGTAAGTGTGTGAATGTGCGTGTGTGAATGGTAAGTGTGTGAATGGTAAGTGTGTGAATGGTAAGTGTGTGCCCTGTGATCGGTTGGCGCCCCATCCTGGGCCTTCCAAAATGGATAGGAGGATGAGCTCTTGACAGTCTAGCTTCACTATTAGCCTTCAAGGTCCCTGGGAAGCAGCTGAAAGGTTTTTAGCAGAGTGTGAGAGCAAAAACAGGGAAGACTGGTAAGAGATGACATCATATTTATGTACAGCACAAAAAGCCGCACCTGTATCGGTACCTGTGGAAGGCCTGCATAGGGTGTGTGTACATCTCCCTGGACCGTAATGCTACGAGGTGTGTGTGTTTGCATGGCCGCATCACAGGCGCTACAGCAGGAAAGGTTTGAGCTGCAACAGCGACTAGACGTCCTGGGGCTGGAGGGGAGCCAGCGGGAGGCTGAGCAGCTGGCGGACATCGCCGCCCTCCGCGAGAAGCTGGACCGGCAGCTCAGACAGGCCAAGGACCGTCGACAGGAGGAGAGCGAGCAGCTCAAGCAGCTATCCAGTCACAACCAGCGGCTAGTGGAGCAGCTGGCAGAGGTGACCAATCAGAGCGTATCGGGGCACTAAGCTCCTGTGACATCCCCACAGCAGCGAGGGGTTCATGGGAATTTTACATACACAAAATGTTTTGAGGGCAGAAGGAAAAATGATTGGTTCAGAGAGAGAACCAATCAGATTGCAGAGGAGGTGGGTCCAAGCAACTACTGTATAAGAGGCAGAGTCCAAGATATCTGATTGGTTGTTGTCCTACCTCCTCTACAATGTGATTGGTTATATCTCTGAGCCAATCATTTTTCCTTCTGCCCTCAGAACATTTTTGTGTAAGTAAAACTCCCATGAGCAAAACAGGGTCCAATTTTCAATTCAGTTAAATTCAATTTTTTAAGTGGGGAAAATGAAGCCAAATTAATTATTTGGGGGGGACACATCTCCCATGCCCCCCCCTGGTTCCTCCACCCCTACATAGTTCCTTTACTAACACAGCTTCTCCAAAGCACTTCATAAAGTATCAACAAACAAAGTGGCACTTACTGACATTTTAGAGTAACAATCATATAAGTGAATAATGAATAAGAGCCAGATGACAACAGAGAACAGGAAACAAAACTCCTAGTTTGATGTAGGACAAGAAAAAAAAAACCCTGGAGCCCAAGCTAAAGGTCAGTCGACTGCCTCTATAAGCAAATGCTTGCGATCAACAAGCCACTTCCAGTTTGAAGAATATATTATCAACCAGTGGGACAATATACTTAAAAGTCACTTTGTCACACCTAGAAAGAACAGCCATGTGACCTGTCTTGTGAATAAAATGTCCCAGATTTAAGTGACAGGAAGTGCTTTGTTTTTGTAACCTTTGTTGTGGTGTTTAGGCTGAGTACTTTCATCACAACTCAGTTGGGCAAGTCTTAGACATGTATGGGTGTATGAGTGTCAGGTACTTATAGTGATTTGTACATCAACATCTTCTAAATACCTGAATAATACACCCTGCCTTCAGGAATAGCACCTGTTTCTTTTTGATCCTTCCTTCTGGTTTGGAATGAGGATCAGCAGGTTCTGTCTCTCATGACTGTCAGGCGCAGAGCACGCCCTCGCCACGCTACTTCTCCTCCACCTGCCGCTCACCGCCTCCCACTTTCCGCTCCCCCCTGGCAGGCGGTGTCGGTGGAGCACAGCCTGCGTTCGGAGCTGCGGTCGCTGCGGGAGGAGATGGAGGACGGGAGCCTGAGCCGTTCCATCAGCTCTGCCAGGCTGGACAGCCTGCAGGCCGAGGTCCGCGTCAGTCGCCGTGCAATTAATGCGACGCGCATCATCATCTCCGTGGCAACGGAACCCCTACACACTAGCTGATAACGACCCATAGCACTTTCTGGGGGGAAAAAAACCGTGGAGATCTTTTAGAAGGTGGGGCTTTCCCACAAAGTGTGTTTTTCAGGATTAGGGGCCAAGACGTGCACAGGCACGGACATACACACACGAGCGATACAGCAGCTGTCAGAGCAACATTCCAAGCTGTTGACTTGAGTTAATTCCCAGCTGAGCTATGGGGCAGTAATTACCATAGCAGCTAAGGCCTCAAGGTCACGCCTCCAAAGGAGGTTTAACATCCATGGCCAATCGCTTAAGCAGGACAACTTTGATAAAGATAGCCCAACTGCATGACGGTTTTGGGGGAGAGCAGAAATGTGTAAAATAAGCAGGTACATGTAACGTCATATGCAGAGCCGCTTTTTTGAGATGTATGTGCCTCTGTATTCTCCACAGAACAGGGTCCTTCAGGAGCGTAAAGTCAATGCGGAGGAGCGGCTGAGGTCCATGCAGGAGGACAACAGCAGGTTGCGGGCGGAGCGGGACGGGCTGAGGGGGAGGGTGACGGAGCTGCAGGCCACGCTAAGCGAGAAGGACGGGGAGGTGAGCGTGGGGGGTGGGAGGAGGACAGGTATTTAACTTGGGGGAGTTAGGACCCCACGGACAGAAGGCAAAAGGTTTCCTAGCAACGGGAAGCCAAGAGGTGTGAGGAATGGAACTTCAGGCAGAGTTAGGGACAGACGGAGACAGAGCCACAGTCACGTGATCTCTGGGGGGGGGGGGGGGGGGCGGCGGTGAACACAGCACGCCACCACCAGTGACCCACACGTGTGTTGCTCTCCGCAGCTCGACCAGGAGTGCAGTTCGTCCTTCCAGCTGCGTACGCAGTACCACACGCTGCAGCAGAAGATACAGGACCTTGGGGGTGAGGTCATCCCTGGGGGAGGTGCCATTTTCCCCCTATCCCTGCAGTGTGAGATTCAGCAGTCCCAGGTACGGCCCCTTGCTTTGTGCTGCTCACAAGAACAATAAATGGCTAAATCCAATTTTCTAGCCTTCATGCATGCAAATACATCTGTATCTGTGCCCCTTTCACCCCTATTGTCGATTATGCTACAAGGCGTGTTAATGACGACGTCTAAGTGGTCTGTCTGTCATTCTAGGCTAAAGAGGCTATTCAAGTTCATTCCGAAATCCTGCAGGAGAAAGACACCGAAATCCAGAAGCTGAAATCCGAGGTCTGGTTTCAGAGACTCAGAGTATCTCCCTTTTCTTGAGCCCCTTGTCCAGTACAGACATCGGTTGTATCAGAAATCCCCTTTATATCCTACCTGGATTTTCTGTAACGGCCTGCCGTAGATCATAACCTGACCTGCTTCGTCCCAGGGACCCCAGAAGCCCTAGAAGGGGATGTTTTTAGCTGATGGCTGTGCTTGTGAACTTCTTGCAGCTGCTGTCCAAAGATAAAGAACTGGAATCTCTTAAAGAGGAGCTGCAGCCTTTCAGGCAAACTCCCGGCAAGCCGGGTTACAGGTGAGGACTCCGCCTCCGGTGAAAGGTCGTTAGGCGAAGGGCATGAACGTTGATTTGATTCTAGAACTGAACCCTTGGGAGGCTCATGCCCCTAAAGAAATATGGGACACCACCTTTGCTGGGGGGGGATGTCCCCCATGATGACACTTGCAGAGCAGGGGGGGGAGGAGGCCCCCCAATATAATAAACTGTTTACCCAATATTAGCCATCAGGAACAAAATGTATAGAAAAATGAGACAAATCGCTAAATGGTTTTAGAATGATTATTTAATCTTGGGATAGGGGGGTTGAGAAAAAATAGAGGAGCTTAAGCCCCCTAAATAGGGTCTATAACTGCATGTGATTAGATCTGATTTCCTAGTCTGTCAGCTCACACTGACGGGCTCAGACCCAGCGCCCCTGAGCATTCTCTGTTATCATTGGCATAGCACTCTGGAGTGGGAGCTGGCCGCGATGCAGCGAGAGCGCGACTCACTGAACCAGCAGCTGCTCAACACTATCAAGCACAAGGTGATGCTCTCGCAAGAAGTGGAGGCCTGGCAGGTGAGCACTCCACATTGTCCTCCCGACTGAAGCGTGCCGCTTTCGGCTCGAGTACCAGCCCAGCGGTCTTCCCTCCCTCACTGGCTCCTTCCCCCCTCCCCCTGGAACCTGTCTCCATCCTCGGCCGACAGGAGGACATGAGGCTGGTGATCCGGCACCAGGTAGAGCAGCGGGAGGAGAAGCAGAAGGAAAAGAGAGGCCTCAGCAGAGACACTCGCACCAGCAAGTCCCTCCGCCTGCGAGGGGAAGGGGGAAAGAAAGACAAAGGAGGCTTCTTCTCCTCATTCTTCAGTGCTGACTGAGGGCGCCACCTGGTGGCAAGGAAGACAAAGTCTTGCACTGTCATTCAAATCACTCTCCTTCCCGGACAATTACCACCTGAGTAATTTAGGTGGCCTGTTTCTGTACTAAAGCATGTAAACTTTTTTTTAATGCATTACATGGTAATGCATCCATTTTTTAAAATTAAATAATTATTATTAATTCATTCATCCATTCTGTTCCACTGTACCTGGCCAATGAAGTGAATTGTTTCCAAACAGATGGCAACTCTCACCTAAATATAATACGAATATAAATATTTTTTAATATGTATTTCAGAGTTTCCTTCATAATATATACATATGATCTCAGATAATTGTTATTAAATCAATTACATAGCTCATTCCATATTACATACTACAATTTCTGTTGAACAACAAGACAAAAGGGACAGTTTTCTTCTTGTCCTGACTCCACAACATAACCTGGGCCCGCTATACAATGTGTCAGAACCATACCTTTCCAGTGCAATAGGTACCCAATTATGGGCAAGAGTTCTATGAGAAGCAAAGAGCAAATCAGCTACAGTGTGAACTGCGGGAGATCTCAAAAAGCGATCACCTTAATTTGGAGCACACACTCCCCAAGGGTCCAGTCCGTTGGACAGGGTCTCAAGATCATGCACATCAGTCCGTCAGCTGAGCCTGTTGGAGAAGCTACTAAGTGTCTAAGACAGAAGTGGGCAGCCTTATCCAGAAAGGGCCGGTGTTTATACGGCTTTTCGCTGCAACTCCTTCATTAGACTACTAATTAGAGGACTGATTTGCTGAAAAGTCCTCATACCTGGCTTGAGCAGCTGACCTAAAGGTGATCCCAAAAATCTGCATACGCACTGGTCCTTTGCGGATAACGTCTAAGAGATTGGGATCACAGGATCACGGGCCTCATACCCGCTGGGCGAGCTCAGGAGAGCGCTGTGGAGTTCTGTGGGTATGTGAAACTCTGAGGCGTGTGGCTTGTTCAGCAGGCCACCCTCATCATCGCTGCCCTTGCTCTGACAGCCCTCAAGAGTTTTATCACTCTGGGTGTCTCTGAGGCCCAGGACCAGGCTGTCCAAGGGTACATCATGGAGAAGTATCCAGTGTGTCTGCGAGGTGGCATCCCCCTCCAGTTCATCCAGCGGCAGCTCTGGGCTGTGGGTCGGCCCCCCCGGGTCACAGCTCAGATCATCATCCAGGGCCTGTCGGTACATGGACTCCAGGCTAGGGGACCTAGATTCTGTGAGTCCTTCAGCTCCCAGCGACGGTAGCCAAGCAGAAATGCGGCTCTGGTAGAGGGATGTGCCCCTGGCGGTATAATCCCAGGAGGGGGCCAACTTCTTTGCAGGTGGTTCGGAGCGCCCCCCCATGGAGGTCGAGAGGACGTGCAGATCCGTCAGCGGGGATATCACATCCATGGGCAAGGTCATCGTTGTGACTACGGGCTTGATATCACTGGGATCCTGGTCAGCAGAAACATAACTTAGTGCTGCTTTCATGACAGTTGGGCCAGTGACTTCACTAAAGCTGGTAAAATTCTCATTTGAAAAGCTGGACATGAAAAAAAGTTCAAAGTTCAAGTTCCAGGATGGAAGCTATCTTCACTGTGCTTCGATAAGCCTTCAGGAACATCTATAAGCCACAAATATTTTAAATAAAAAACAAATAATGCAATAAACAAGCAAACAAACAAATGGGATAGCTGAGAACATCTGAGTGAGAGCATTAATGACATCAGTCGAGTACCAAAGCATAGCTAAGGGAAATGGTGTTTTCTCACGCCTGAAGAACGCAGAGGGCTAACAGGCTGGCTGAGAGCATGGCAAAGTGACTTACCAGCAACACAGGCATATCACACACAGCAGGCTTGGGCCTTGTGTAATAGATGACGGCCACCAGGATCAACACTGTTAGCGACCCTACCAGCAGGATGGGCACCACAACCTTTAGGTATTGCCCTGCATAGAAAGAAATATATTCAGATACTCTCACAATAGTTCCCTTATTTCTTTGTTAGACGTTAACTCTCTAAAAACACAACTTTAAAAAATTGCAAAATTTGCCCTGTTTTACAAGGAAAGAAACTTTACTATCAGGGGCACAAAGTTTTTTAGTGGGGGGCACAAGAGGGACAAACATTACCCAATGTTATGCGACTGGAGGGGGGCAATCTGAGGGCCAATGAGCTTTCAGCTATTGCCAGTGCCTAGTTATGGCAAAATGAAGCTATATGAATCATTTGTTGTATTTTTGACCCCAGTAGATGGTGCTCTTGGTTTGCTTTGGGGCATGCTTTGAGCCCTTTTTTGAACAGAGAGCACCATCTAGTGGGCTCAGAAAATACAGCAAACGGTTCATTAAGCTTCATTTGGCCATCACTACCCGGGCCCCTGTGGCCCAGCCCCTGGATCAGTAAAACAGAGTTTATACACTTAAATAATCAACATAGAGGAACGCAATGCTCTCTCCCTCTCTGTCTCCCCCCCACTCTTTCATCCTCAAGGAGACACACAGTGGGATTCTGGGAAGGCAGCACACAAAACCTCTCTCACCTCCATACCCCGGCTCTGGCAGTTTTAGGGAGACACACTTCTTTGACTGCTGGTGGATCTGCATCTGCTGCTTGTGGAACACCGAACTACTCACGCAGTAGTTCCCTGGTGACAGCAACGTGGTGGGGAATGTCCATGGCGACACTGTTGTGTTCGACACGACCTGTGCAGTGACCCGAGCCACATCACCACAGCCCCTCTGACAGGCTGAACATCACCCACTCATATAGAGTATCACTACAGAAACATCACAATCACCATCCCATTCATTTTCCAACACGATTGGGTCATGGGCAGGCTTGGACCTGAGCACCATCTAGTGGTATCAAAAAATACAGCAAATGTTTCATGAAACCGTGTTTCGGCCGTCACTCCAAAAAGTGGGAGAAATACACTAAGACCCAGTGGAATCCTGCACGACAGAGAGAGAACATGCAAACTCATGCAAAGACATAAGGATGGTGGGATGCAGCGATTAGCATCAGCGCACAGGCATAAAAGTTCACGATGCGACTGCCTTGATACAATTGCACCAGATACAATTTGGAACGAACTCAGGATGCATCGTTTATAACATCTTTGCGTCAGTAAAATCTGATTTATTAAAATATAATTGTTAGGAAAGGCCCTATGCTTTTATTTTTTAGAAAGGTGAACAATAATATTTGGCTAGACATCCCAGGCCCCCTGAGAAAACGTCATCTTGGGCCCCTGCTCAGGTTGGCATTTTCTATCGCTCAGTTGTTTTTGCTGATCGGGGGGGGGAGGGATTTTGGGTGCCCCTACAAAGTGCAGGGCCCCCTGAATCTGTCATGATATCCATGCCCCTCTGGCCCCCTGCCGTATTGGCCTCGGAGATGGAGATGCATGTCGCTGCCCAACGAACCATCATGGCGACCGCGACCATAGCATGTACTTTCCAATTACCGGAATGCTTCCATCCTGGGAGACCTTAGTTAGGTTGATGGAGTAGTTAAGTTTGAATGGCATCGACTCCAGTTGGTGCCACATCTCGACATAGATGGACTGGTTTGGGACAGACACCTTCAGAACAGGCGCACTTATAATGGCTGTGGAGACACAGACGATATATTCATTAATGGAAAAAAATAGGCCTCTTTCCTTCAGACAGTAAAACCTTTCATGTTACAATTTTAATTTTGTGCAATTAAAGTAAAACTACATTTACATATAGAGCAGGGGTGTCAAACTCCAGTCCTGGAGGGCTGGATCCTGCACATTTTCGAGTTTCCCGTTTAACACACCTGATTCAACTTCTTGTAACTTCCTGTGCTAATTACCACACAGCTCTGGAGCTGAATCATTTATGGTGGAACAGGGAAAGAACTAAGCTACACAGGGCTGCGGCCCCCCAGGACTGGAATTTGACACCCCTGATATAGAATTAAAGCATTGCAAAGAGTTTTTTTTTTTTTGCATATTACTGTTTGTTCAAATTTAACAATGGTACAGAGGTATCATTTGATTAAATGAGACCCAGTAACGATATTGAAACAATATTTACATACATGCTAAGAACAATCAGAAATGATCATCACAGCAGAATTTTAATCACTAACTGAAATGTTCACATGCACAAAACTCACAGTCTCCATAGGGCTGGAAAGAGCGCGGGTACTTCTCTTCAGCACTTTCCGTCCCTGAGGTGGCCACGATTTTTAGGAAATATCGCTTCATGATGAGCTCGTCTGTATCCGTACGGAAGACGACATGGCACTGCGTGCTGGTCTTCTGTGTGCAATTCTCGATCGGCCTCCACACGCACGTTCTGAAACAAAGCAGGCCTAGCTACTCATAAGAATTACCAATACACCCTTTAAACCACCATAAGCATATTGATTTCAGTGAAGCTGATGGGGGGGGGGGGGGTGCTACATGAGGCTTGGGGTATTACGGCAATTCTCCGTCCACACCTGGCACATTTTATCAGGAAATACTGGAATAGTGTTACTTTTAAAAATACTGTCCAAATACTGTACACCGCAGTGTAAAGTCTGCCCGGGGTGGTTTGTGATGAACGTTATTCCTATGGTTAAAACCGAAATTCAAATGTGGGCAGTACGATTTCTTTTATTGTGTATTAGCAGCAATTAGCCGATTAAGCTACAGGACAAACGTGCCTGTGGCAAAATGTTTTCTTAGAGAAAAAAAAAAACTATGAAAAGAATGTATGCATTGCTCTTCCAGAAATGAAATAGAAAGAGTCTCGCAGAAGTGAGAGTTTCAGTGTCATTTTTTTCTGGTTGTTTTAGTGGCAGGCATCCAGGCTGTCTCACCCACACTCTTGAATCTCCACTGTGAATCTGGTGTCAGGTAAGTTCCCTTCGCCACGGGACCAGTGGATGTAGGCCTGAAAATCCAGTAGATCCACAGTCAGATTCTGCGGATGTGACAGCTTACCTGTAGAATATACGAAAAAGGAAGGTTTTATGTGTGGACCTCCTGAATACAGGCAATGACAAGATTCACTCAAAAGCTCAGGAGTCTCTGCTAAAAAGGGTGAGTTACCACCCACCCCATATTTAACAGGATCATCCTGTATTGGAAAATAAAAAGCTATGTCCTGTTTTGTACGAAAATGGGACATAATTTGTCCTGTATTTCACATCCAGACCAAAATACATTTTAATCCAGACCGTGTCACTGATCCCGCCTAACAGGAAAAATAAAAACTATACCATTACAGAAAACAGCAGGGGCTCCTGATAACTGAAATAGTGAAGGGGCTCCTGATAACTGAAATAGTCCTGGGCTCCAGGGGCCCCTGATAACTGAAATAGCCCAGAGCCCCTCTAATAACTGAAATAGCCCAGGGGCCCCTGATAACTGAAATAGCCCAGGGGCCCCCTTACAACTGAAATAGCCCAGGCCCCCCCCCTTACAACTGAAATAGCCCAGGCCCCCCCCCCTTACAACTGAAATAGCCCAGGCCCCCCCCCTTACAACTGAAATAGCCCAGGCCCCCCCCCTTACAACTTAAATAGCCCAGGCCCCCCTTGATAACTGAAATAGCCCAGGCCCCCCCTTACAACTGAAATAGCCCAGGGGCCTCTGACCATGTTAATGTGCCTCTGGTGATCACTTAGCTGTCTGCCTGACATATTTCTCCTGTATCACTTCTTAAGAAACTTTCAGTCATATCAACTTAAACTAAACCTGAGTCATAAGACTTTCCTGCTAATCCGGGGTCCATACCTGAGCAAGTCAATAAATCAAAGAGGAGTACAAAGCAAATGGCAACAGGACTCTGGGTCATTGCGTCCACCGATGCACCAGGAGGACCTCGAGTTATCAGACCATGGTGGAAGAGCACGCCAACACCATCTGCCTTAATCTGGCGTCTTCAAGCAAAGCGGAGCCCATCAGTATCTGGAGCTTCTCTGGAAATATTACAAAAGTTACACTTACTTAGACACTTTTATACAAAGCAGCATATAATTCAGAAGGCAGGATCACACAGGCCTTGGCTGATTAAGGGTCTTGCTCAGGGACCCAAAAGAGAACTCAGTCTGGTCCTGGGATTCAAACCAGCGACATTCAGATCACAGACACAGCAGGCTAATCTGGTGAATGACAGGCCACCACTTACTTTCCAGCAAAATTATTTTACTGAAGCATAAAAGGCGACAACTTTCTGAAGAATCATGGATGGTTGTTTGAGTATAGATGAAGTTTTAGTACCATAGGCGATTCTAGACCAGGGGCGGTTTACTCATCCTATATTTTGTTTCAGCCCCCCTGAAAAATTATTATTCTTAATCCATTTAGTGACTTTACCCCATCAAATGTTAGAACTACCCCTTTTTATTTTACAGTGGTAATTAATCACATCAATACTATTCCAATATACACGGTTTCTTGACTAAGTAGTAAATGTTAACGGAATACAAATGGATCAGTGTAGCTCACCTCATAAGCTGCCCTCTGGGCTTTTAGAACCTCTGCCACTATCTCTCAGACCTTGGTTCCACAGAACCAAAGATTTCATCATAGATGTCCCCTGTTCTGAAGGATCAACTTCCAAAGCTAAATGGGATTCCTACTATGTTGCTGGAGATTATTAGATTTTATTTTATGGCCTACAGGAGGAACGTGAGTTAATTTGTCTTCATCCCCGTTCCATTTGCCTAAGCAAACATCTCAACCAGTGTTCCTCAACTCTGTCCTTGGGGACCATTAGGTAGTCCACATCTCACCAGGTAGTCCAGATGTGCTTGGAGCTGGGAGGGAGCAAAAATGTGGACTGGCTGGGGATCCCTGAGGACTGGATTGAGAAGTACTAGTCTAAACTAGTACTGCCACTCCCACCATTAATTTCCCTATGAAAATTACCTGTTTCTGCCGCAGTTGCACATATACAGTCCGTAATCGCCTTGATTCCTAACATTGCCGATCTGAAATACTTGGCACACAAGGAAGGCTACAGATCAGAGACAGGGTCTTGGGTACCAGCATCAGATTTCTTAGATCCTTCCCTCATCAAAAGTTCCCACCCCAGATGCAAGCAGCATCATTCAGTATCGGGTTCTGATTCTGATTCTGCCACAAACACGCAACAGTCAATGGAACATTAAGTGGATAATTAGCTTAATATATAAAAGGCCAAGTAGGGGATATACTTCTTGCACCAGCTGAGGAAATTCAAGTCAATAGGGACTTTATTGTGGTACCAGCTATACACAAGTATGCAGTGGCACGAGATGCAAACACAGGGCTTGGCACGGACCAGACATAGTGCACACAACACGATAAGATGGCATAAAGAGTGTGTGGTTTGATAAAAAAAAAAGGAACAGGTGATCCGGTTTTGCACAATGATCAATCTGTTCTGAGTTCAATCGTCAGAATCTGGTGTAGATCAAGAACCAAAAAAGGGAAGGCTAAACAGGCTAAACCAAACAGTCAGGTCTGCAGAAAGAATCCCAGATGCTAATTTGTCCACCCAGCAGGATTTCTCAGTTAGCTGGGTTAACTTAAGACGAAAGTCATAATTGCCTAATAAGAATTTCGGTAAGGAGCATTCCTATTGGAAAATTGTGACTTCTAACTTAAGTTAACCCAGTTAACGGAAAAATCCTGCTTTGTGGAACATCCCCTGTGCTCATCCCAAGTCAGAAAACGAGTCAGGAAATCATCACAGACCCTCACGCCTGGGCCACACCATCTTTGAACATCTCCCATCCACCAGGGACTACAGATTACTCTGTGGCAAAACAAGCCATCAGCCTTATGAACAGCTGGCCCAGTCACCTCAGCTCAGTTGTGCTGTTAACCTCTGCCGTCCCATTACCATGCAATACGTCATTGGTGAAAATAACATACATATTGTACATATCGTATTTTATTGTGTTATTTATATGTATGTATATTTACATTTGTCAGCCAAACATGCACATTGTATATATCAAACGGAATGTTCACGTCTGATATCTTTTCGTCATACCTGTGTAGGTATCAACTGTATGTATGAAAGCCACTGACAACTGTAGAGAAAATCCCGGTGTGTGAACATACTCAGCTAATAATCCCATGTACCCATGTGTGTTTTACCTAGAATTTTGGATCATTGTCCTGTTTAACCCTAATCAACCTTAGCCTTGCCTGTCGACACTGTGTTGCATTTGTGGTTTTGGACTGATGACAACAAACTTCACAGTTCGATCTTTATCTGGCTGAAACCCTGCGCTGATACAAATGCAATCCCATGAAATTTCAAACAAAATTTTTGAGCAGATTTTGAATCTGACCAAAAGAATTAATATGAAACGGTTTTCTTAAAAAGGCTTCAGGCACTGGTTGTTAGTGATTCATTTAATTACACAATATGATTGTAGCGAGAATAACCTAAAACTTCCTGTAATTTGAGCTCGAATTTTCTCCTCAGTCATGATTCTACCTGCCGTTTGCCTGATACACTAAGATAAAATTATAATTTTAACTTTAACAAACATACTCACCCAGTTTCTTGAGGTGTCTTTTACAAACAAGCAGCGAAAAGACTTTCATGGAATTCTCTCTGCACTGCTTTGCTTTGAGTTATACCACACATCTCCAGAAATGTAGGAAGGAGGGCTGGTTCTCAGGTGAGGCGGAAATGAATCACACATAAAGAAGTTCCTTGTCAAGCGTGATAGCTGCAGGCAAGTTACGATGTTCCATCTCCAGGGACAAGTCCACACTTAGCGTAACTCCTAGGTAAATATTATATCGGACTTTTAGTGTCAAAACCTTTACATAAAATTGGGGGGGGGAGGGCATCCCTACTGGAGGGCAAACAAAATACCAGAAACACCAGACCAAAAAAATACCTTTACTTTGAAATAAATACAATCAAAATAAGTACAATCCCTCAAATACAATTACAAACAAAGCTACAAGTATACCTCATGTTAGGTTGAATGCCAGTTCAGGAGTATTTAAAAGCTACAAAACAGGTTTGACAGTTATCACTGTGATATGCAGGCTTTCAAAGCCTCGAGAAGCTAAGAATCCCATAGAGCTCAGAAGCTGGTGCCTGAATTGCAGGTGAAGCCATTACAGAAACCACAGAACTATTTAATGTGCTGACAGTAGTGGTCTCAGAAATCATGACCGCATGCAGTTCTATGATGTTTCATTGAAAATTAAACAGTGCAGGTCCAGTGGATGAGCTGAAACGGTACAAAGGTAAGCTCTAAACTGCCAAAAGTTTTAAAGAAGTTTAGATTTAACAAACACTGAAAAAATAATGTCAATTTCAGAGTTATATAAAAAGCCTTTTTTTCAGGGAACAGGTAATGGGTTTTTCTACAGCGATGAAAGTAAATTAAGCCTTGAATCCAGATGCAAACAATTTCTACCGGTGGAGTAGACTGTTACTACACCATCTGAAGAAGTATTTTGACAATATCGGACCGCAGGAAGAAGTATTTTGCTATAATAATGGCAAGAAAAATGCAACTAACAGGAAGACAGAAAGGCCATTATATGTAACACTTAAAAGTGTACGTCATTCCTTTTGAGAATTTGCACAGAAAGTAAGTATGACCAATATGTCAGTGAGTACAGCTTCCCATAGTATCAAAAGGACGAGAAGAGGTCAGAAACATGAACCATCCTGAACCAAAAGAACTGCCACAGCATTTTGGAGACAGGTCTGACCGCAGAGCCGCAGATCCACAATTCCACAGCAGCAGCTTTCAGCCCAGTGGCGTTGAAGACATGGGTGGTAGGATATCTTGTGAACCTGTGAGATTATGCCACATAGATGAGGCATGCTGGGATATGTATCCCACAAGCATAGTTGCTAACTATGTTAGCAACTTATATAGCTGGAACAATGCATGTGAAGGCAAAAGGGAGCTTTTGGGAAACGTGCGTCTAGTGGTTTGTATATGTCACAATGCATGTTACCTTTCAGGAGTTTTCAAATTAATCATGATATGAAGGTTCATAATCACAAAACGATATGAGTTACTAAGCTACTTGTGCCCCCTCAAGTAAAGTGTTACCAAATATTTATGTTTTAATCAGACATATATCAAGTATGATACAAATACATTATTCAGAAAATATATTTTAATATTCATACTTCCATGTGGCAGCAAACTGGCTATGACAATAGCACCCAGCCACTGGATTCTAATGAAAAACAACGTTGAGATTAGTGTTATTTTCTTTCAGATTTATATTACAAATTTATTGGAAACCAACCTGGAATGATTGAAATGTTACTAAGTGCTAAGATAAACCAAGAAAGTGACAGCCCACATTTTGTCAGAACGATCTTGAAAGATAAAAAACAAGACAGTAAGCTTCAAATCATGCAATGGACAGTCTCTCAAACCACATTGAGCTGGTTTGGAATGAAGTGGAGAGAAACGTGAGAGCACAGCAAAACATTTGTGGCAGCTCTTGCAACATTTCTGGGAAGGACGTCCTCTGAAGGGGTTACTTTGACCAGTCAAAAAATTTAGATAAAATTTTGAGACACAAAACAATTCCATGATTTTTTTTTTTTCAAATCTCCAATTGCTTTTTTGTTCAATGCTTTAATTTCAGAGCACACTGGGACATTAAACTGCATAAATTTCAATAAAAACTGGGGAAATGGAGGTGTTCTAAAACCTTGGACCGGTAGTGTTTGCCAAACACAGAAAAGCACTGGCAAAGAAAAAACAGTGAACACAAGTTGAATTTCATTGACAAGGAGAGAGGGACACTTAACAGCACCTCTTTGTCACGTCACGGTACGAAGGCGAGCAGGGAAGCAGGGAAAAGGAGCCAGGAAGTCAAAATAACAGGGATTTAATCAGGGAAACAGGACCGGGGGAAGCACACAGACGAACGTCAATGACAAATCTGGCGTACACTCACTGAGACACGGACTAAATGCACAATACTAGGCAAACAGAACAGGCAACAGGTGAGAACAATCAGGGATGAACACGAGGTAACGAGGTGGGCGTGGCACACATTAGGATCGGACGGAGCTGGGCGTGACACACTTGTACCATCCTGATAAAACTGTCATTCTGACGTCTAATTTTCCACCACATATAGATCCGCACTTGTCTGACAGCATTCTAGGTAGGACTGCTGTGTGTTCCCTACTCCTTATCACTTCTTTGACAGTAATATATACTTAGGTGTGTCTGCTATTGTGTCTGGCCCAGTAGATAAACCGTTCCCCTAACACCAAAACATAGTTACATTCCTCTTCCAGTGTCTTCCTTCCAGGCAAAAGCTAAGAGTAAGAACCATGAAAACAGGGACTAATTCATCCACTGAGCTCTTATCGACTTTGCATCCTTTTTTGTTCATACTCCGAATTTCAATTTCTACTTGTACTTATTTTGCATTTGCCTTTAATGCATTTGTAATCATATACCTTGCGCCATCTGCATCAAAACAGATTCCTCATATTGCTCGTAATTACCAAAAAATAGGATTTTCATTCCGAGAGTTCACAGAAACCGTGAACTTGTAATCTGCTCAAGATCAACTACCCTAAACATTGAAATGGTATTTAAAAGTCTTTGTCTACTTACCTGATCTCCAAGTTTTTCAGGCGGCAAACCCCCTGTCAGTTGAGCTCGATTTCTTTCACAGGAACCAACCAGACAGGACCCAGCTCATGTGCCGAGACATTTTTCTTCTTCCTTGTCTGGTTGCCATGCGATTCTGCTTTCCTACATATATAGTACAGTATACCCAAATGGGCTAATTACCAGTGTTTTTTCTCTGCCAATCGATGCAGAGAAAATGCATTTTTAACCTTTACAGATCCTATGAAGTATGGGCCACAGTTTGATACCAATACTTTTTCCAAATTATACAGACGTCATTTTTCTCCATTTTCAGACATGTGTGAATGTCACTTCTCAGCTGTCCTGAAGAGACTTGTCACTGCCAGTCGGGAATCATAGGTCCATCTCAGTGAGCAGCGAAAGTCTGACACCAGTTTCAGTTTATTAGATTCAAAATACATATCAACTTGTTGTTAAAAAATGTATTACATCTTGAGCCTAGTCGCAGTGGGAATGAACGGGAATGGAAATGCTGCCCAATGCGACAAGCAAACAATAAAACATTTCTCATATGCTACTTAATGTTTTAAGGGAAATTAACTGATGCAGGTATGCCTTATGGTGCCTTTAAAGGTTAAAAATAAAATCTGCCCACAGGAGCCACCTGAAAACTAAAAAAAATATAATAATAGTTATGATGCAATTCCTGTTTTTTTTTTTTTTTGCATGAATGGAATGTTACCCTGAATATTTTGCAAACAGCTCTACTGTGGACTATAAGTAATTAAAACGAGGCAAAGTATAGTATGTCACAAAAGCCTCAAATTTTAGGAAAAACTTAGTCAAATGATGTCATATGCATAACAAATTGCCCTATTCAGAGCATGTTGTGATAATTACACAAGATCCATGTGTACAGACATTTTAGAAAGAGTCACATCATTAAGTTTATCTTGTAATTCAAACCAGCAACCTCCTTTATGGTCACTGTTTGGTCACCAAGCCTGACCTGCCTCTCTCACTGAGTTTTTGCGAAACAACTCTGGTCGCCCTAAACTCATACTGGTCTCAGAGCGAAGGGCCACATCCTGCTTCCGGGTTCTAACGGGGTGCAGACCTGGACACACCAAGCTGCTGATCCAGAAATAAAAGCCTAGTTCTCAGAATGGAAAGACTGAGTATTGCTGGCGCCATCCAAAACCGCTTCCCTTAGATCTTTGAGAAAAATCTCAAATAAAGTATTAATATGACACTTCATTTGGAGAAAAAAGTCATTCTGAGCAATTCAAGTCGAACAATTAAGTTTCCTTTGAAGTCTGATTTTTCCTAATCATCTGCAATACTCAATATTCCCAGTGTTTTCAAAGACACAGACCTACAGTTAACCTTAAGACAACCTAAGATGTCACCCGTAAAGTAACAGACTTTAAGTGACACTGCACTATAATGACAGGAACAATGAGCAGCCCCAAACCAGCTGCCCTGTTTAGAGGTTTGATAAGCACCATAAACATACAACCCCACACTTTTTCTGGGCTGCTGCAGCTGCCCGCAGAATCATTATTAACAGTGGATGCCGGGACATGTTATCAATCAGTCAGTAATTTTACTTGAAATGAGATAGAAAGCCAGAAGCTATTATGTGCCTGTCCATTAATTCATACTAACGGAGTTGTCATTAAATTCTGTTAAGTACTGAGAAGCAAAGGATTCTAGGTAGCACTATCCACAAGTTTTGGATGTTTTTTGTTTTTTTTTGGTCAGACTTTACATCCTCACCTATTTGCCTGTGAGATCACAGGGCAGTTTCTGAACAGTCTGTTGCAGGGCAGTAGGTTTTAAAAGCCAAAAGAAAACACCTTGGGCGTCCTTCTGGCTGAGAGTCTAGATGCCACGCATCTTCTTTTTTTGCTGGGTTTCTATACTACGCTGTACCCTGGCGCCTGCCCAGACAGCACACGGCGGGGTGGCACAGGACCTGGCGTGAAATATCGGGGCAGCGAGAGTCCAGAGGTCGCAGGTCGAAACTCAGTTTGTGGAATTGGTGTAAAAAGGGGGATTCCCCTTTGACTCGCCAGTTTTGGGAGTTTAGATCTGATCAATTGAAGGTCAACCCCCCTCCCCCCCCCCCATTCGATAATATATGCACGGGCCAGAGTGCTGGGGGTGAGTTACAGCCACCGCAACCCCACCGCTTTGGCCTGCCACAGTGTATCTAGGCACTGGAGCCTCCAGGACGGCCATCTACCCAACGTTCACCCCCAAGCCACACTGCAGCTTGTCCCCACGGTGGTTGACGAAGGCCCCCATGATAAGGGTGGCGGGCAGGGGTGACAGCCGCTTCTCCAGTACGGCACCGATGATGCATCGGCTGTCCACCATGCCTGCAAGAGACGACAACGATCCAACCAAGGACATCAAGGGCAGACTTCGTTTACAGTAACAGAAAAGTAACAGCAGTTACTTTTTTAACACTGCAAAATTATTAATGGACTGAGATCCTATGTCTGTATAGCGCACTGTGTTTTCTGGGATAAGCTACCGGCCCCTCTGCTACCACAACACTGACCAGGAAGGAAAATTACTGAGACTTGGAGGAGTTACCAGGACTCCATGTTGAGCTCCAAAGTCCTAGATCAGGGGTGGTGAACCTGTGGCCTGTACTACGAAGCGGGGTTACTGGCTTATCGGGGTAACTTGTCGGATTTAAGGTAGTCTGGGCAAAATGTAAGGGAGCGAATATGAAGTCCATTTAAACTGTGGTACCTTAAATCCGACAAGTTACCCCAATAGGCCAGTAACTCTGCTTCGTAGTGCAGGCCACGGATCCATGGAGAGCAGGTGTGGGTTAGGGTTTTTGGGATGGCCTCGCAATCAGCCAATAGCAGTAGGTCCCCAGGACTGGAGTTAGGAACCCCTGCTTTATTATTGGCTGATTGAGAGGCCATCCCAAAAACCCACACCCAAAGCGGCTCTCTATGGAACAGGTTTGCCACCCCTGTCCTAGAGTTTTCTTGACCCTACTGAATGCTTTGCTGGATGCATATTACAGTTCAGCCAAAATAATTACCTGGACCTAAAGGTCATTAATTACATTTACCTGATGCTTTTACCCAAAGTGGCTTACAGAAGAGGGAAAGGTTACAATTTATCTGTGCTCCATGGGATTTGAACCCACACCCTTTACATTATTAGCACAATGCTCTACTTGTTGAGCTAGTCTGTTGTTTAATTAGTCAAAATCATTTAACCCACCTCTGAAGACCATGTTTGCTTCAGGAAGGTCCATCTGGTAGCCAAAGGAGAAGGTGGTCTCCTGCGTGCGAGTGCTAGCCTCAAACTCCACCCCCACCTGAATCTGTAGTAGATACACATACTCTTCAGTTACCTGTGGAAGACCCACCCCAAGCTGCTCGGAAACTTGCTACCTCAAGCATCAATCGCCAATCACATCCCAGGAAAACCACCAAGGTGAAGATCCATAAAGAAACACCGCTTTTCTGACAAATAGCACACATTGAATGTAACCAGCTCAAAATGCTCAGAGTTTCATTCACAAGTGCATGTATAAACTACTGTTCAAATCTGTGTACTGCTGTTATCGTCCTGCTAGATCCACATCTCCTTCACCTGCTTGTTGGCTTTGTGGTAGTAGCTTGCGTGGGCACCTCCTTTGCCAGCATTTAATGTTGCCACCCAGTTTGGCCCTAGACGAGGGAAAAGGGGGAAAAAAGCAGCACTTAAACATCTGACACAGAGAGATAGAAATCCAAGTCAGGGAAACAGGGAATTTACAACATGCTTTCAAATATAATCATAGTGCGATCTATTTTAGTATCTGTTTCTGTGACTCAGTACAACTGGAATGTGTGTGTGGTGGTTAAATTAAAGGCGTATGCCAACTTCCCGCACCTGAATACTGGCCCGCTAAAGTGAGGATACCACCCTCTTCTGCCCGACTTCGGTGGTACACAAGCTCCCCTCCTAGTACCAACTGTGAGGAGACACTCTGTAGAAAGTGTGCCACCATGATCACTGTTCCCATGGAAACACAGACACACACCATAAAACAGAAAAAGGATTAATCAATCGACAGCAGAAATACTGGATCGTGGACACCAACACATACTCCAGAAGGCTGTTAGAACGTCATCAGAATGGAATCCAAACTGAGTTCGTGACTAAGACAACACACTTTTTTTCACATCTCGCTCCATGTCAGTCGTGTGCACACACGTCATCCGCACACGCTGCCTCACCTGAATCCCTGAGAATATCTGGGTTGGCCAAGGTCACGGCCGCGGTGAAGTCACTCCCCCTGTATTCCATCTCAAACTGCCACGTGACGAACTGAGACTGCTGAGTCTGACACAGAAACACAGAAGGCGAAGACTTCAACAAGGCTCACAGCAGAAACACATCACAATGCAATTCATTCAATATGTCTGATGCAGATACTTTGTTGCTTAATATGTTTTAATCTTTGTTGTTTAATCATGTTAGAATTCATCGTGAGTTATTGCACTACTACCAATTTATAAACGTTCCCTGACTGCAGCAAATTAATCCAATCTTCCTGAAGTCTTGAGCCATGGTACTTTGATCTTACATTTATTTACACATTATTTATTGAGCAGAGGTTTTTTTCCCCCAAAGTGATGTTCATTTCTCAAAAGCAGGGTCAGACAATCGCCTGAGCAAATGGGGTTAAGGGCTCTTCCTTAGTGGCCAAATGGTGAAATCACTCTGCTGACCCTGGGATTTGAACCCGCAGCCTTCCAATCACAAGTACAGCTTCCTAACCCACTGATCCACACCTTGCTCCATGGCACCCATGGCAGAGGGATGAAGATCAGCAGGCACATCCTCAATGTCTGTGCCATCTGTCACCTGCTACTTTGTGCTTTACGAGCCTCGTCCATTGATGTGACACACTTATAGCACAGCACTGTTTATGAGATTTTACCCACAACCCTGCAGAGCAGGAACCAGGAAGGGGGCCCAGCTGCTTAACCGGCCTGACAAAATGCAAGCCTGTTTGCCATCTCGGCCCGTCCTCGTAACAGACAGCTCAATGAACCCAGAAAACTAAGGGGCCAGTCATTGTCATACTGTGCTGTAACCATAGGTGCCATGTAAACACTGGATACAATGAAGATTTTTATGATATACAGCATTTTGGCTTACAGACTGACAGACAGAAGACATGTATATACAGACAGACAGAACACAGGCAGACAGACGGACAGAAACATGCACAGACAGATTCTGAGATAGCCTAACCTGGAATACAGCCTTAGTTCGGATTCTCTCGCTTAAATGGAGCAGGGAGTGGGCATTCAAACTTCCGGAGGAGTCCATTTCACCAATCAGCATGGGGGAGTACTGGGGGAAAATTATGGAGCATAAACAGGGATACATTTGCAAAGTAATGCTCGAGATTGCACCTTTTTTTGTAAAAAAACAAAGAACACCATACCTCTTCCTTGCTGTCAGTATCCGACTGCAGGTACGAAGAATGGAAACGGTAACATGAGGGGCCCACAGCACTGAGATGTAAAGTGTGGCTAACCTTAATTAAAACACAACATCCCAGTCATTACACCGTTGTGTAATCAGATTTTTAGCATTTGTTCTTGTTCAAAATGACATGCTTTGAAAGGGACAAAAAAATGGTTACCTTAAAGAAACTGCTGAGAATCTTATTGACAACCAGTTTGACTCCTTCGGTTTGTTGAGGAAACACATCTGCAGACAGAAAATCAAGTTTCTTACAATTAAACGTGATTATTCATAATCAAGGAAAAAAAGTCGTCATTAGCGGACAGATGCGATCAATAGGCCCAATGTGTAAAAGCAGAAGGTTGGAAACCTTTGCAGCTGCGATGTAGCCCGTCAAAGCTGCCGGGGTTGGAAAGGCGACCGTCCCTCCGGTCCCATCGCGAGAGCGGCCTGTCGTGCGGGAAGGGGGAGTTCTGACGCCCTGGGCGAGAGGACAAGGCCAGGACACTTCCCATGGGAACCGACAGGGGTTCGAGAAGACGGTCGCACTTTCTGCCGGCAGTACTGCACAGTGAAATACAAGCACACGCCTACTTATTGTACAATGTGGGTGCACAGTTTACGTTGTTGCAATAAAAATTTCGGTGCCTCACTACAGAACAGTAAATTATATCACTTTGACAATATTTTGAACGGTTCAGATCAGCAACTATGCGACAAATGGGCCATTTAATAAAAAATAAGTATTAAAATGTTCGTTATAATATAAAATTGTTGATGTCGGCATTGCTGAACTTGATAGACAAGGGAACCATTAATACAACTATCAATGCGATTTATACCTCCTATCGTCGAAACAATGCAGCATTCAATATTAAAATGCAATGCGTTTTATTGTCTTACTTTTCTAAAATTTACTGCTCTACTCAGCGCATTTCGTTACGGTAACAGTAGGCTTCCGATGACACGGGCAATGTCGGCTGCAAGAAGATTTATGAAATGTCAACTTCAATGCATAAAAAAATAAAACGAATGCTACTTACGTTTAATTTCATTTGAAAAAATTTAAAAATATCTGGAGCACCGATGCCCAGAGAAGATGCTGAAGATATTGGCGTACCACTAACGCAAATACAAAATGAATGAGACACTTACACAATAAGGTTACGGAAATGGCTAATCATGTGTGCAACACGACTTCACTCCGTCTACGAGCAACAAAGAAATTAGTCCCCCTATAAATTCGGTACGGAACATGTTGTTCCGGAGGTTTTCATTTGGGGTACTTTTGTTTTATTTTATGACGTAATACACTTGCGTCTAAGTTGTAATAGTTTCTAAGGATATTTTGAAAATATCCTGCCCATAACAAAGTTTCTCATTTCTTTCTGGTCACCTGCTAAACTTTGAGTGATGGCAGTGGCTAGCTGACGAGTGCGTGACGTGTTTCCGGAAATTCCCTTCTCCACCGGCAAGATGGCAGATGAGGCGACAAGAAAAGCCGTTTCGGAAATACCGCTTTTAAAAACGAACTCTGGTCCCCGCGATAAAGAACTGTGGGTGCAGAGACTTAAAGAAGAGTATCTAGCCTTAATCAAAGTACGTTATTAGTGCGGGATGCCGTGTCATGGTGGTAAACCTCATTTTACTCTATCAGCTGTTTAGAGATGTTTCCATCTAGAGGCATGGAATGGATAATACACCAAATGAGAAAGCAAACATCATAAAACTTTCGTGGTTCTGCATTTTTGTTTAGCAACAGGACGAAGAAATGCTGTTTTGTAATGTATTGGTATTTATGAAGAACAACCAACTGTCGTGCTAGCATCACTAACAATAGTTAATTCTTCATCCTTAACAGCTGTTTATTGTATGACTGTGCTGTACAGAAATGACGGGCTAACGGCAATATATCGGCATCGCATGAGGAAGACAGCTTGCAGATACAATTTTAAGTGGCCGATTCCCATTTATAGTTTCATCCTATTTCGTCTAGTATGTGGAAAATAACAAGAAAGCGGACAACGACTGGTTCCGTCTGGAGTCCAACAAAGAGGGCACTAGGTACGCATGGTCATTTATATACTCACTGAATGGAAACATCTACATTCGAATCAAGTATTATTACTCCTTAACTAGTGCTGTGTTCATTTCAGGTGGTTTGGAAAATGCTGGTATATTCATGATCTACTGAAGTATGAGTTTGACTTGGAGTTTGATGTGAGTTAATTGAGGCAGGACTTGTGTTTGTTTTATATCTGTAGCTCTGTAAATATAGTTTACAAGACTGAATCTGGTCCACGTGCTGTTTTGTGCTCAGATCCCTGTGACATACCCCGCTACGGCTCCGGAAGTTGCTATTCCTGAGCTTGATGGGAAGACTGCCAAAATGTACAGGTAGGTATGATTATTAATATTGGTTGCTAATCTTAATGCGGGTAAAACATCAGTCTTTTTGTACCGATGCCTATATACATAAGACTGATTTAGATAAACAGTAGATTCACTTTTGATCAATTGTAGTACAGCTTTAACTCACACTGCTTTTATTATGGTAGAGGAGGGAAGATTTGTCTGACGGACCACTTCAAGCCACTCTGGGCAAGAAATGTGCCCAAGTTTGGGCTTGCTCATCTAATGGCTCTGGGGGTATGTGGCTTGCCGTACAATATATGGTAGTAGATAAATAGCAAATGCTATATTTGTGAGCCATTTCCTCTTTCTGCAGCTTGGACCCTGGCTGGCCGTAGAAGTGCCAGATCTCATTGCCAAGGGTCTCGTACAACACAAGGAGCAGCAGAGCAGTTGAGAGTCCTGAGCTGTTCACTGCAGAATGAGCGGGACCGGTGTTATTGCGATGGGCCTATCACAAACCTCGACGCATCTCACATCCACAGGCTTCCTCTATGTCAAACCAGTGGTCTGTTCACTCCTTAAAGAGTCACATTGACTTTAAACCCTTTTCCTGCAATGATGTCTCGTGAATAAGCCTGTAAAAAGAGCATGTAGTCCATTTTGTGATTCACGTGTAAAAATATAACCACCCAAAGCAACTGGTTTAGTGATTAGCCCAGTGTGCACCCTGAAATTAGCCTTCAAGTTTGTGGGAACAGTATTTTAAGTTGAACAGAACATCACATATTAAGAAAAGTAAACCACTGACATAGAAATGCTAAAACTAAACTTATAGTCTAGCTTTTCATTCAGAAGTACAGAGCATCACATATTTTGCGTATAACAGGGTCTTTTAAGGTGTTTAGCCAATCTTGTCCTACAGTCTGAAAATAAAGGATACTTAAAACATTGCAGCTTATGGCTTGTATAATTTGGATAAAACCAGGTAAATGAGGGGTTGATTACAGTGTAACTGTAACATTAAAGTCATCTGCTAGCAGCAATTAATAGTACTTCATGATGAAACCCCTGAGGAGTCTACAAACTGACATCTACTTGGGGACCCCTAGATAGTCCATGTTTTTTCTCCCTTCCAGCTGTCCTAGCGCACCTGAAGGAAACATTAGAGCAACGAAGAACACAGATAACCTGGTACATGTGATGGGAGATGGTAGGGAGCAAAAGTGTCAACTGTCTCGGAGTCCCTGAGGACCACTTTGAGAAACACTGATTTAGACATTTGGTTAGACAAATGGATGAAGAGAAATGACCTTATATACAGAGGCAGGTGAGATGATTTCCTCCTGTAGGTCATAAAATAAAATCTTCACCAACAGCAACATAGCAGAAGCAAAAAATGTGGACCGTCTGAGGGTCCTCGATGACTGGATTGAGAAACACTGATGTAGAGTCACATATACCATAGTTTGCACATATACCATAGTTTGCACATATACCATAGTTTGCACATAAACCATAGTTTCGGAAACTCATACAACCTGCATGAAAATGATGTCATGTGCTTCGTAATTCTGGAATCCAGCTTGTTTTATCAGTTCGGTAGAAATCACTTTATTGTTTATAATCATGGTCACCTGTATTTTATTTTGTAGATACTTTTGTCCAAAGAAACATGCGAGTCAGGATTAGACAGCATGGTCAGACAACTGGAGTTAAGGCCTTGCTTAATGTGAAATCAATCTAGCAACCATGGGATTAGAACCAGCAACCTTCTGTAGTAAATCTACATGGGTTATTTTTGCATTGCTCTTTCTTCGTTGGAATCTCCTTTAATCACTATATTCACAAAAGAATGTTACTGCCCAACACTGCAGTGAAATGTTTAACCCTTGAGCTTCATAATTTTCTGTCATATTGTACCAGATTTTACCATTCATTGATCCACACAAGTAATGAAAATGAAACAATGATTAGCATTGATGTTCTTTGTGGGCGGCAACTGAACAGGATCTCAGGCTTGTTCATGTATACAAATTTACAATGGAGCTTCATTTCTCAAACATCATTTTTCCCTCAAACAACTTATGTGCACACCACATGCAGCAGCCAACTCAGGTGCAAAATTTGTTTGGTGTTATTTTATATAGGTCTATATTTTTTAGGTCTGTCAATAGATTAAAAAAATGAACTACTTCATAAATAATGATTTCCTGTAAATAATTACAATTTTTCTCACTTTCAAGTTTGTTTCATGTTGTATAATGCATATGAACAAATGCCAAGGTTTTATTTCATAACTCTAACAGAAATGTTCTTTTTCTTAGAATAAATATATTTCACTCAGGGGTTAGATGTCTTTCAATTTTTTATGTTCTTATTAACCACAAAGACATTTTTAATAAGTTTCCTCTTCTTTACCAAAGATGAGTGGTATAGCTAACCCTGTGAACAGGCCACAAACTTTGCTCTCTATTGTACATACGTCTGCAAATCTCAAAGGAGAACAAGATGGGAGATTTGAAAAGACATATTCCAATATACATGTACAAATGTCACAATAAAGCATTTAATAATTTTTAAGGGCACCAGATACTAATGTAAGTCCATGACATTCTAACACAGTATGCTGTGAAATATCTAGAAATTACAATACATACTATGCTTATGTGGTCATTTGTAGTCCAGGAAGAGCCAAGAGTTTGTTGCCATTTTAAAAATTATATTTTGCATATAACAGGCAATGTACCCTATTTTCTATATCTGAGCCGAATTTAATATTGGATATTTAATTAAATGCAGTTTTTCTTGGCCAGAGTAGCCTCCTTTTTCGGGAGTAATACTAGATTCCTCCACGTCAAAGACGAAGGTGGGACTGTGATTGTGATTCGCTCAACAGATTATATCAACCAGTGTTGTGTGGCCAATCAGCGCTCTCATACTGCTGGCCAATGAAATTGATCCTGAGAAGTCGTCTGAGCTGCAGGGCGTGGTTTATCCCTGTCGTGGGAGAAAATGGCGCATTTATTACGTGCGCACGTTTGTAATATGGTTCCTCGTTTATAGAACTTTGCGTAAATTTCATCACAAAAAATGCGTACGCAAAAAATAGAAAATGACGTACGCAGAAAAAAACCTAGTGTATCAAACGTGGCGTAGGCAAAAATGTGCGCAATCTCCTCTTGATAAATCAGAACTATTTTGTAAACGTGCGTACGTGACCGAGCCTGAGGTTCTGCCCAGTTGCCGCCCACAAATAACCATAAATGGTCAATGCAAATGAATTGCGTGCTCATTTAATACGCAAATCAACACTTTCTGGTTGCACAGTCCGATGATGGCGGCTATAACAATCAAGAGAAGAAATTTAAATTTTAACAAGTCCGAGGTAGATGTCCTGCTGTCGGAGGTAAAAACACGAAAAGATATTATATTGGGGAACCATACCGCAGGTATCACAAACAAGAGAAAGTACGTTGAATGGCAGCAAATTACCGCTGCAGTAAATGCCGTCAGCTCAACAGAACGCGCTGTACCCGAAATAAAAAAGAAGTGGCAGGATCTGAAAGTAGAGGGGAAAAAACGACTGGCTGCGCACAGGGCCAATACAGAAGCATCAGATGGGAATAATCCCACACCTTTTCTCTCAGACTTCGAGGAGCGTATGGCATCTATAATAGGAGATTCCGTATCATGCAGTGTTGTAGCAGAGCAGTCGGAAACTACTGATGAGGCACATGAGACCACTGAAACAAAACCAGGTAAAACCATTTCGTCAATGAATGAAAGATACAAGGAACACATTAACAAAAAAAGTTAATGACCCAATAATGAAATGGCATGGCTTTGATCGTCGTAAATAAGTTCTCTTTTTCCGGTAGATGTGGGACGGGATGCTGGAGTAGCCGCGGAGGAATCCGATGCACCCGGTCCGAGCGCGAGATCGCGTGAGACGCTGACGCCGCCGCCGCCACGTGTTCCGAAAATCCACAGCGGTGGCCGCGTCCTCACAGATGCGGTACTGCAGACACAAAGGGACACCATTACAGCCATCCGAGAAGTGGCGAAGGAGCTCAGAGAGATTAAAGGGGTATTGAGCGAAATATCGGTTTCATTAAAGGACTTCTTTTAAAGACGCACCGTTGCTCTTGTTTTTCCAAAAGCAGCACTCAGTGTAGACGTAATGCGCAACAACTGAAGGAGCATCAGTTTAATTAGGTGCGTGGACATGCAAGTTCGGATAGTCTGGCTGGCAATCAAGCGAGTTGGCACATGCTATTATGATCCTGTGGACTTTGGTCGGGTTGTACAGCAGCTTCCTCCTGATTCATCCAAACGCCATCTGAAGGATGCTCAGGAGCTGTCAAAGCATGTGAGATGTATAGGTGGGTACCTGGGGCACCGACTAAGCAACACCCCCTCCCCCATAAGAAAAAGATAAACGAATTGGTACTTTGGCAGGAGTGTGTATCACGGATTTAAGGCACTATTTAAGTCATGTTAAGTAGCTCTATAGTGTCATTTTACCATACACAGTACCGTACACAGTTAAAAACGGAAAAGTGTTTCTCTCAGACCAAGGTGCTACCTAAATTAACACAAGACTAACACATAACCTAACAGCATAGAGTGCATAGTTTGCTATCTGTGGGCTGCATTTTCGTTCACTCAACTGGTCAGATGTGAGGTAGCAGAGTTAAATGTATCCTGCAGGCCCACGAAGTAGTGAAGTTGATTGACCCGATTAGGGAAACCTAACATCGGTGCAAAGTTAGTTTTTACGTTTGCCTAATCTCCCACGCCATGGGGACAGATGATAAACGTCATGTCAGGTTTGTTTTGCCTTCCAGTTGCCGGAGTCAGCTGTAGCCAGAATCTGTATATGTACAGGTATAACAAGTATTTGAGCAGTTGGTGTCTAATGCTGGGCCCACATCAGAACTTAACTGGAAAATAATGGCTGTTCATAAAAAGTTGTCATGGGCAAAGTTAAGAAACTTTATTGATCCCAAGGGGAAATTATTATGCACAGACCTACAGGTTATCGCAAAAACCTGCATACACACCGGCCCTTTGTGGAAAATCTTAGTGGCCCCTGAATACTCATCGTGTGTTGTATCTAGTGTATCATTGTCGTAGGCTTGTTTAGTGTTTTTATTTTTATTTTATTTTTGTGACTGCACTGAAGTACCATGCCAAATTCCTCCTACACGCATATGTGCTTGGTAATAATAAAACTGATTGTGAAACTCGTTCCCTTCTAATCCTTACATTAACAAAAAATATATCATACCATCCACTGATGCGAATGATTGACGCCTAATTCACACTTAATGCAATAAGGGCAATTAGAGGGATTTTCAGTCCCTGGGGAGAAGTGAGCAGAAGTGTTTGAAATAGCAAATTAAATTCTCCAAAGAAAATGCATATTCTTTGGTGTACACAAATAAATTAAAAATAAATAAACTCCATTTAACATTTTTAGAGTTACTGTTTGTTACGTCAAAGCGAGACTTGGTAATAAGAATTGTTGACATGCGCGCAGTTGTTCATTCTCCAGCATTTTATATTCAAATTGTGGGCGTGTCCACTGTGTCATGTCAATCACGCCCGGTTTAATCAGCCATTGGTTGGAGAGCCTCGTTTCTCCAGTCACTGCTCTGTTCAGTCCTCAAGGACTCGCCCCTGCCTGAAATCCCGACATTTTATTGGGGCATCCTGGCGCCTATCTTTCGCTTAACCCTAGCGCTGTGTTATTGTTTAGTCCTCCGATGCAGAAACTTCTGAGATTCGCGTTAGTACGATTTATTTTTAATATGCAATGTCGTCTTTTTATAAAAATATATCTAGGTCATTTATAAAAAGTTAAATTAATATCGTGGCTTAAATAGACCATCGGACGCAAAAACACTGTTTAAATATATTTTTACAGTTTTGTAACACATCTCTGTGTTTCCTTCAGGGTTTTTTTGTAACCCGAACTCCTGGGAAAATTTAAGTACTTAAGAAAAGGTTGCTTTGATAAGAATGGGAATTTATTCGACTGTGTGAAAATGGCGGAACCGTGCACTGTTGACAGCGATTTATTTTGCTGATATTTTAAATGATGATTTAAAATATCAATCATTAAGCGCATGGCGCAGTCCCGCTGAGTACATCGTGAAGTGAGTTGGGACAGACTGCAGCCACATGCGTTACTAAAAGCTGCTTACTGTCTCTCGCTGACCGCTCGCATCATAAGCTAGATTTTTCCCAGTTGAACGAAACGTGATATTGCTGAATATGTGAATCAAAACATATTTGCATTGATAATATGTCTGTTTAATCATACAATTATACAGCCTTTCACTGTCAAGGACGTCTAGGGCTCCTACTTTTGGCTTTGGGCTGCTGTGACAAAGAATCTGCGTTTTAAATACCCTTTTGTAGATGTGGTAGGTAGTTCATTAATGATTTACGAGGATTAGTGAGTTCACTTTCTTTTGTGACCATGCGGGAAAGTGACATGCATGGCATACAAGACTGCCTGATCAATGTCTTCCTTCGGATTGCCGACATTCTGCAAAACTTCTTTAAAATATTTTTTTGATCTTCTTTTTTTTCTACAGTAAATGTGTTGTCCGGCAGAGACACAATGACAGCTCCTCGGGAAGTGTTGCTTGTCGGGGAAGGAAATTTCTCCTTCTCGGCTGCTTTATGCCAGGCTGCGGGAGGCAGTGCCAAGGTTACGGCCACCTGCTTTCAGGCCGAGGATGTGGCTCGGCTTCAGGACGGCGCTGCGGAGAACATACGGAGACTTTCAGAGTCCGGTGAGTGGATCCGGCATTTCATTTCGGTATAATTCTCTTGACACTCGTACAGTTTAATTAATACAATCTTTATGTTTTTTTTGTGCTGTCCTTGTTAAAGAAGAGGGATACTTTCTTGGGAGAAGGGAGTATTTCTAATTTCCCAGTACAGTGGGTCATAAAATTTCCGGGATGCCAACTGGCTGGAGTGAGATTTTCAATTTGAGATCAGTCTGTACACTCATTTACATGTATGTGACAGTTTTATTACCTTGTAAATAGTATGTAGGGTTTGCAAATTGCCTCATCGCTTTTGATGTAGCTGATTTAAGGTTTATGGTGGAATGATGGAATAATATAGATTTTCCTTAAGATTTATTGCGAGTCTGAAAGGTTGTGTCACTCCAGATGCGTGAGAGCTGGCAATCCTGCAAAGCCAGCGGCAGCCTAACAGCAACGACTTGGCGTCTTGTGTCCGGCAGGCGCAGATATGTACTACGAGGTGGACGGCACAGCCCTGGAGTGCACGTCCCTGAAACAGCGGTCCTTTGACTGCATCATTTTCAACTTCCCCCACTGCGGGCGAAAGAGTGGAGTGAAGAAGAACCGCAGCCTGTTGGCTAAGTTTTTCCTCAGGTGTTCATCTCTGTGCTCATTTTCTCCAGTACGGCTAACCAACAGTAGCATGCATTACTGAGTCTACTGAGTCTTACTGAGTATTTGGTATATTTGATAGACGAAGTACAGGAAGTGAGGAATTTTAGCTATGGGACTGTAACTTGGATAACCGGCTTCTGTGTCAGACAGTAATTAATGATTCATTTGCATATCCAGCTCCATTCAGGTGCTAAAGAACGGTGGTGAGATCCACGTCGCCCTGTGCAACGGGCAGGGGGGGACGCCCGCGGATAAGCCGACTAGGGAGTGGCACAACAGCTGGCAAGCCGTTGCTATGGCTGCTGAGGCTGGTCTTATCCTGAGTCAGATCTGTCCCTTTGACCATGAGAAATACCAGAGCTACAAGTGCACCGGCTACAGGTGACCCGTGATAGTCTGGCCGTCATCAGCATTACCAGGAAAACAAACTGATTGGATGCAATGTGACGCCTTCAAAATGTTTCTTTTTAAGGAGCCAAGACAAAGGTTTCCATGTAGAAGGGGCGCTAAATCACATCTTTACGCATAGCTTGCCCTACGCTGCTATACCGAGTATAAACCTGGAAGCCGTTGTGGGAAAGGAAATCATTCTCTTTGAGTTTCCCAAGGAGCTGACTGAGTTTGCTAACAGGTACTTGTATGCCAACACACGCAAGCAGACACACAAGCACACCTGTATTGTATATAGAGTTATGTTTTTTCGCCAACAAAAGTTCACTGGATCATGGCTAGGACACTAGAAGTTAATGAAAATAGTTAATATTTAGCGTAGCGCAATTTACCTTATCCATATCTTAAAATGACTTCCCGATAGGTCATGAAATTGGTGACGCATACCATTACACCAAGGTCATGTCAGTGAACGGGTACAAAATGAAAAGACCATTTATGCCTCTGAAGTTCATTGGGCAGCAGTTTTTTTTTTTTAACAAGTCAAACATTATGCTAACAATGCAGAGGTGGTGGGTTCAAATCCCAGGGAGTACATACAGATTGTAACCCCTCTAAAGTACACCGCTGTAGATAAAAGTGGCACGTTCAATGAATCAATGTGAAAAGTAAACTTGTATTGTTTTTCCTACTTAGGAATTTCCTGGATCCAAAATCTCACCACCCAGTACAAATGGTCCAGGAGCAGCTGTTGAAGGAACTGGAGTCCTTGTGGCCTGTGCAGGTGGTAGATGTTGACTTCCCCTTTCTCTTCCGCGATTCTCCGGAAAGACTGCAGGCCTGTGGCCCTGATATAACGACGTCCGACATTTACTGGATCCGGCCCGTTGAGGTTCACAATCTGGGCGAAGAAGACTGTCGGCCAGATGGGAGCCAGGACAGCCCAACAGGGAACTATGGACTCTGGCCGTCCCTGCTGCTGCATGTCCAGGAAGTGGTCCAGCGCAGTGACTTCTGCCCCGGGGTTCTGTTCAGGCTGAGTGGACCAGTCTACCGCAGGGTTCCTGTGTCCAGGAACACCTCCCCCGCCTTTCACCAGCTGCTCCTGGTCGGAGCCCTGCCTTCTGAGCCTGAGCCAGTCGGGCAGCTAAGGAATTGCCTGGAGATGCTCCTGGCCCCATATGGAATTGCACTGGAAGAGGAAGATAGGAGCCGTGTACACGAGCTGTGGTTGAAGGTAAAGGGTTCCTTCAAGGTTGGACGTTTGGAGGTGCTCTCTGCCCCTGACGATGTACAGCAGCTGTGTGTGGTGACCCTTAACCTGGACCTGCTGGCCGCGCAGATCTTCGGCGTGACCGATTGGCGGCTCCTTTGGAGCCCCGACTTCCGCTTCCTGTCCCACTTCCTCCCCAGTTCACCAGGACCCTTCCGGCCTTTCTCCCTGTACCCGCCCACCTACGTGCACGACGTCAGCTTCTGGGTGGAGCCCGACAGCTTCGATGAGCTGGCTTTCCACTCGCTGGTGCGGCGGGTGTCGGCGGGAGCCGTCAGGGAGGCGACGCTGGTCGACCGTTTCCGGCACCCGCACATGGGCCACGCCAGCATGTGCTACCGGCTGACTTACCAGTCTGCTGACCGCGCGCTGTCGTACAGCCAGGCCCTGGCCATGCAGCTGGAGCTGCGCAGGCTTCTCCCCTTAGAGCTGCAGGTCACAATGCGCTAGAGAGGCTGGTGGAGAGTAGAGCACCAAGATGAATGCTGTCAATATGAGACCCAGTTGCAACCCAGCAGGGAATCATGGGAGTTTGGTTTGACTATTTTAACAGAAGAAAATATATTTTTTTTAATAATATCCATGCAGATTTACAATGGCGGGTAGTGTGTTGCCCATGGGAATTTTACTTGCACAAAAATGTTCTGAGGGCAGAATGAAAAATGGTTCAGAGAGATAACCAATCAGATTGTAGAGGAGGTGGGTCCAAGCAACCAAAGGTGGCAGGGCCAACCAATCCGATGTCTTGGTCCTGCCTCCTCTAGTTGCTTGGATCCCACCTCCTCTGGACCCTCAGAACATTTAAGTAAAACTCCCATGAGTCAGTGGATCCTACTGTTCTGGAGAATCTTGATCACTTTTTTTTTTTTTGGAAGTGTGATTTTTATGGTTGGCAACAGTAAAAGAATTTTTTTTTTGATTCCATCCATCCATCAGCTTATCCGGTACAGAGTTGTAGTGGACCTGAAGCCCACCCCAGGCATCTACATCACATTTATATAGTTAGCAGACACTTTTGTCCAAAGCAGTGTACAAGTGTGGCAGATAGCACATGGCAAACATCCGTGCTGTCAAAGAGTTAATTCCGTGAGGGCGGCTTCCAGTAAATGCCCAGGGATGAGGCTAAGCAGTATTGGAGCAGGAGCTACACAACATCTTCCAAAACAGCAAGAACCAGATAAGACTCTTCAAGGACCAGAAGTGCAGCATAAGATCCATCTGGGAATGTAAAGAGGTATCAGTTTAGTATAGAATGCAAGGCCATTGTAGGATATTTTATTTACAAAAAAAAACCCATTAGCTTGTTAAAATGCAAACGGGCTGCTTTTGAACAGTGAGAACAACAGTATTTGATTTGTTCATGTATAAGGACAAATATTTTAGAAATTATAAAAGTTATTGGAGAAAAATATAGAGTCCTATTAAATTATCTTTCATACCGTGTACTGTAATAGATGCAATGTTGTTTTGCTATTTTATGTGTAATTTAACTTTTCTGTTAATTCTTTTATTCTGAAACAGAATGTGTGATCTGAGTGTGCTTATTTGAAACTGACAGACGATTGTATTCTTGTGGCGATTTTTATACGTGTCAAATGAAAGTGAAACTTTCGCGATGGTTTTTATAGTGCTCGTGCTATCACTGTAATTATGTTCGACGTCCAGCTTTGGTGTCGCTCAAAAATTTATTTAATACAAAACGTATAATCACCACCGCCGCCCATGCAGAAGGATTCAATAGAATTAAATGACGCTGCTGAATTGCATGGCGATAGCATGTTTGCGGAAGAAATGCGTATTTATGTTTTTTGTATTTGTGAGACAATCTTTTAACGAGCAAAGCCATCTCTTTTTAAGCGTAACTTTGTGAACTGCCGCGATGTTGGTAAAACATAAGCTGTGCGGGACAGGTTATCCAAAACCTGCTATTTTGTTTACAGTCCAAGCGAGACTAAAAATAGCACTGTGAGTAACCGTGAGATATAACTTTAATAATAACGGCCCCGGGATACTGCATTGACCTGTGCTCTCCGTGGGCGAGCGACTGACTACCTCCCAAATTTCGTGCAGGTTACCGACGGAGGGTAATTTTTGTTTTGGATAATTAAATATACCTGTTTTTGGATGTTTTCTGACTGCGAATTTCAGTTGCTGTTATGTGGGATTAATGTGTTTTGGTTAATAAAGTACTTTTTGGTTGGCTTTGTGTCTTCTGGTAGTTAATCGATTAAGATCTTTAACCCCCGCCCCCCCCCCAATTTAGCGTTGTGTTGCATATAGGAATGCGTTCTATAAAGCGGAATGTGGACATGAGAATGGTGGATGCTCGGACATGATTTCTGTTATAAATATAATGCAATATACTGAATGTGCATTGACTGCAGTTATAAATGACTATATAAATGCAGTTATATATTTGCTTCATGTTTTCTGTTAATGGAAAGCTTTCAGTGTTACTGAACATATATAGACAGTACACAGACGTTGATTTGTGCTTCAGATACCACGCACACAATATTAAACTTGAAACCCTATAGCGAACGCTACACCATACCTGTAGAATAAAAAAAATAATAATGCAAAACTCCTAATCTAGGGCAGTTCCACGGTCAGAAGCATTCCTATATTGGACAAGCATGACTATAGCTTAAGGTAACCCAGCTAACTGAGAAATCCTGATTTGTGGAACATCTCCCTGGTCTGTTTGAGTTAATTTACTTCGATAACTTTTCACGCGGCCTACTGCCGAAACTCGTCATCACTGTTAATAGTATTATTTTAAAATTAATTTACGCTAGGAAATCAGGAATAAACTAATCTATCCACCTAATCTCCTACGAACTGACTGAATAATCGTTCTGGTATACTGTACGTGCATCAGGTTGCTAAACATAAACTTTAGTTTTCAAATGTAGTGTTCGAAGTTCTAAATTAATTAAAGGACACATTTGTTATAATGCGGAAAATGGTGGCTGTAAATTATACTGTATAATAATTATACTCAATATTTTCAGATGTAAAATTTTGCGCAAATGCACGTTTTACAATCAGAAGTATAAAGATACGCAGTGTTTCTGGCGCACTTGCATGAAATCTGACAATTTGTAACAAAGTGCTGCTTGCCATTACTAAAAATGGCCATAGCGCTGCCTGAAACAGTTCCCTTTAAAAAAAAAAAATGACGCCGACGGTTGCCAGTAGTAGAGATGGCGTCGAAGGGACTCCGGCATAGAAACAGACGAGGAAGCAAACAAGACGCAAACAACGTGAACCCCAGTCTTCCCAGTGACACCCGGACAGCAAAGGATGAAAAAGGGACCGAGGACGTTAAAACGCCAGAAACGCGCAATGAGTGAGTCCTGCAATTTGGCATCTTGTAAGCCATATATACAGGCATGGTGACTAGATGGGTGGTGAGCTAGCAGATCATAAGGGAAATTTATAGATGGTTAAATGGCCATCGGTCATCATCGAAAACCATTGGTTTGTCTTTAAAGTAAGTCACCCCATGCGTTTTGATTTTGAAAATAATATTGCTTTTAAAACATACAGACCTATTAGATTATTGCATTGATACCGAGTTCTCTGTGTATTTTCCTTCATTACGTGTAGGTAAGAGCGACACGTAACGTTATCGCCGTAGTTGTCTATCCTCTCATTGGTTCATTCATTCAGGGCAGACTCATCCAACTGCTGTGTAGGTGTTCCTAATATGTCACGCTGCACCCGAAATGAGACTGCACAGTGATGGGGTGTGTCATTTAGCTCGTTTTTTTATTATTATTTTAAGCAGTCTGAATGCATTCTCGCAACCTAAAGTCGGTTATCTTGCAAGTCTGTCTAGACCAGCAGGGGTAGTTTCTAAGTCAACCGTCTACAGGCATTGTTGTGATAATTAAATGTTTCTGTAAAAAAAAAAAAAGCGTCAGTGACAGGACTGCCCGGGCAGTCTTAAGAAATGTCGCACCGCAATCGCTAATCCCTCACCGCGCATGCTCAGTCTGATAAGAACGTTCTTATTTGTAATAAGCACACGCTTATGTGACGCTGAGTGTACTGGCAGTTTTATTTTGCAGTACAACACACATCTTATATTAAGTTCCTTACATAACATGAACAGAAGGAATTAACATCCTGTTGCTGTCTAACACTAGCCCTTCTCCCTCTATTCTCCTTGGCTGGTTAGTTTGTACCCAGATAAGCAATTTGGTCCTTTCATTCAGCCTGCCTCATACTACAGGTCTTCCAGCAAGGCAGGCCAGGTTTGGGCACCTGAGGGTTCCACCGCCTTCAAGTGCCTGGTGTCTGCCCGCTTCTGTGCGGCGTTGCTTAGCAACATCTCCGACTGTGACGAGACTTACAATTACTGGGAGCCTGTAAGTGTCCGGATCAGTGTGTGTGACATTCACTCATCTGCCCCATTATATATAAATAACAGCACTAACTGAACACATTGTTGCTAATCTCACTGTCCTCTCCATTTATTTAGACACACTACCTACTGTATGGCAAAGGCATGCAAACATGGGAGTATTCCCCGGAATACGCCATCCGCTCCTATGCCTACCTGTGGCTCCACGCTCTGCCAGCCTGTTTCCATGCCAAGATCCTGCAGACCAACAAGGTGAGAGATGGCGGCGGTGCCAGAATACGGCGGCGCTGCTGTGGCCATTGACTCTTATTGCGTCGTTTAGCTTCTCAGTGCCGCACTTTCGCCAGAGTCTTGGTTCGGCCACGAGGTCTGCCTGCTGGAACGGCCTTACGTTTAGAGAAATGGCTCAAGAGGTGCAGTTCAGGTCCCCCTGTGGGACCCAGGCCTTTTCTAGCCACAGATGGAGTGTGTTTACTTTTAACGTGCCCTCTTCCTGTGCCCCTGCAGGCATTGGTGTTCTACTTCCTGCGATGTGTGTTGGCATTCAGCTGCTGCGTGTGTGAGCTCTACTTCTACAAGTGAGCACAGGGCTGGACAGGGGGCGACCTAAGCTATTAAGACAAGATATTACTGCTCCTGTAGCTCATCAAGTAAATCATCACACTAACAATATAAAGGTTGTGGGTTCGAATCCCAGGGAGCGCACATAAATTGTAACCCTTCCCTCTACTGTAAGTTGCTTCGGGTAAAAGTGTCAGATAAATGAATAAGATGTCACCCGACAAAACGGAGCCTGTGAGAACTCAGTTTTGATCAAATGTGCAGTTACAGCATTTTGCGTTTGTACGGCAGTATAGAAGCCCCACAACTGTGAATGGGAGGCAGGTTTGAGGTGGGATTCCACAGTGTCGGCTGCCCCAACACCCCCTGAAGACAGGATGTGAGGGATGTGTTTGTGTCCCTCTGCAGGGCCGTGTGCAAGAAGTTTGGCCTGCATGTGGGTCGCCTCATGCTGGCCTTCCTGGTTCTGAGCGCGGGGATGTTCTGTTCCTCGGCAGGTGGGTCTCCTCCGCAGCTGCTCTTCTTCCCCCTCTTCTTCTCTCTCTCTGCTAACCTTCTCCCGCACTTTGTCCGCAGCCTTTCTGCCCAGCACTTTCTGCATGTACTGCACCCTGGTGGCCATGACGGGCTGGTTCCAGGACAGATCCAGCTTGGCCGTTCTGGGGGTGGCGGCCGGGGCCATCGTGGGCTGGCCTTTTAGCGCCCTCTTGGGGTAAGAAAGAGTCTTGGGGATGTGGGGAGGCCTGGTTCATTGTAGGCTGCAGCACTGCCTATGACGCTGATGTATTGTACTGGAACCCCTGTTTGGGCCTCCAGGTCCAGCACACCTGGCACTAGGTATACCCTGGAGGTGTGATCGCAGGAGCATGGACTTTTAGGGACGACGTACTGAAAATTCACCCAGTGTTTTTGCATTTTTGACGTTCTCTGGCCAGGCTGCCCATCGCCCTCGACTTGCTGCTCCTGAAACGCAAATGGAAGAGCTTCCTCACTTGGACTCTGGTGTCATTGCTGCTCTTCCTGGTACAGT